TTCTGCTTCTCTATCCGCGGACTGCTCCGAGTGTCGGAATGATTACTCGCGTTCGCGCCCGTAGCTCACGCAGCCTCGTTGAGAGTGCGAGCCGACGAGAAACAAAAAATCACCATCTGTATTTTTTTTCTTCCTCTCGCAGCAGCTCTCGTACGTGTAACGAGATGCAAGAAACGATGCGAGATAAGAATAAGTGTGAAAAAACGCGTCTAGTCGCGCTCGGCGTAAGCAGCTTCTCCCTGTCTCTCTCTCTCTCTCTCTCTCTCTCTCTCACGCACTCGGAGCTGCAGAGAAAAAAAATGATTCGAAACTCTGCCGCACGAAGGATTACCATAGCTCGTTTCTCGGATTATATTATATATTGCCATGCAGCAGGGATAAATCGACACGTTTTGCTTCTCGGCTCTCTCGGATCGCCTCGTCTCTCGCCCGTAGCGCTCCATATTATTATATACATGAGAAATTGACTCTTATACCGAGTCTGCGCCTCAATGTGTCAAATCAATTCTAATTTGCTTTATTAACACTCGTAAAAATATGACTCGTTTGTATATATTCGAGCAGAAGCATCAGCGAGCAGCGGCGAGAGATTTGACGCCCCGCGCACCGCTGCCGCTCGTGACACATTTACATATATTTTCGACCGATGATATTTTATTTCGGGAATATGTTAATTGGACGATCGACACCGCCAACCAACAGGTGAGCCACGCCGAGTCCGATTATTGAGCTATCAAGCTCGAGCTGGTGTAATTTATAAGCTCTGCCGGCACAACACCAACGTCTTGTTCTAATCTTCCGTGTAGGCGATGTGCAATGCCAACGCTCGCAATAATGCTCTGATGAAATCACGCGCATTTCAATGTTATAATATTTCCTCGCTGGAAGCTGTATCCGTGCTTCGTTTGCCCACGTCTTATCAATTCAAACTTTTATGCTGCCTTTTCGCTACTCTTTTTGCTGTTGTTTTTGCCTCGAACGAGTATGTGCACACTTCTAGCCAAGTTTGAAACTTAAATTTTTTTATTGCGTGAATTTATGATGCAGAAATAGAAAATGCCATCTCTGCTTGCGCGAGCAAGAGAGGAAGTTAAATCTATTTCGTCGGAGGAGACATAAAAATTTTTACGCGCGCCGGCGAATCCTCTTTCTCTCTCTATCTCCAATTTGCCAAAGTCACACTCGAGTGACTTGACTATGTTATTATCTCGACTCATCGCTTGGCTTGCGCGCGCGCGCGTCTATAAATTTTAATATAAAAAGGAGAAAAATCGTTGAATCAACAGGACTCTCCGCAGCTTTTGGAAGGTAATCGAGCGATATACGGAGTCCGAGAGAGCGTACACATGTTCGAAATATGAAAAGGAACGATAAATGACGTGTTTTTGATCCCTGATCGAGAAACGCCTTCTTTCTTAAGGTTCTTTCTCTCTCTCTCTTTCACACGCGTCTATAGACATTGCGGATTTGGGGCCCTTTTTTACTCTCGGCCAAGGAGTTTGAACAAAAAAAGGGGTGTTTTGCCGTCAAAGAATCTAATTTGGTCGCTCGATGCTGTACAAGTCATTAAAAATTCATGACGCTGCCGCCGCTGGCTTCTCCTTTTCTGACAGATTTTCGGAGGCTTTGGCTCCTCTCGGCTCACGTTCGTTATACATTGTTAGGTTTGATCGTCCACTGGGAATATGGTCGTTTTTTTTGCTCTCTCTCTCTCGCTTAATAGCGTTGATAAATATTTTTTGACACGCTTCGCTTACGCGCGTACTCGCCGAGCGTAAATGATTTTTCATTTCCAAAGTTGATTCGTCCCTCTCTCTCTCTCTATTTGCACGAAACACAATTTCGTTGGTAATAGCAAACTGCGGCGCGCAAGAACAAGACGAAGGAGAGAAGAAGGCAAAGGCGTAAAAAAGAGGAGTAGTGCTGCTATTCATGCCCATGTAGTCTAGATAGTTTCTTTTCAGCGGCAGGGACCTAATACATAATTTAAGCTCTTGTATGCAGATCCACAAAAGAGTCTCTCATTAAAGAAGAAAGAGCATAGGGTGTATTATTATTATAGGTATAGAAGGTGTCCCTCGCGCACACTTGGCAGCTCGCACGGCTCAAAGAAGCAGAATAAGAAGGAGAGGAAGAAAAGAGAATAGAAGCAAAAACTCTGCTTACGTGCGGATCAATGTATCGCTAGAATATATACGCGGATTAACGTTTCTGCGGTTTTTGTCGAGCTGCGTAGCATTCCTCGCGTCGGACCCTCTGTATAACTCGGTGCAGCTAATTTTTCTCTTGATTTGCCAGTTTACATGCCGCGCGCGCGCGTATCTCTCTCTCTCTCTCTCTCTCGAAGAAATAAACATAATGATGATAATGGGCCGCGTGCGAAATTGCCGCGCGCGCGAATCGCAATTGTGCAGCGCATGTGTGTAGGGTTGGACGTGTTAGCGCGACTGATTGCGCGCGTGCGGCACGCCAACAGCACATCTCATTACTCCTTTCGTTAATAGTCATTTTTTCTTTTCGTAATAATTTTTTTCTTTTTCTTTTTTTTTTGCATTTTTCGCTCAAGTTGGAACGAGCGCAGGACGTCCGACGCGTATCCGGTATTCGTACACGAGTGAAAAATTACGATCGACGCGCGTATGAATAATCGGATATGTATATGATACAGAAGTATTCATAAGGCGATCGAACCGGTCGAGCGACAATTCATATCGCTCGGGCTGCTCCGTCGCGAGTTCCATAAAAATATTTCGTAGAGAAAAATAGCGCGAGCGAAAGAAAGAAAAATATAAAATAAAGTGTCGCTGGGTGGTGCGCGGGATCGGCCAAGATACGATACACATATATTTATGTGTAACGGAAGCATCGGTTTTCTTGCTGTCCGCTGCTCGTATATAGGATCGTGGTAGATGTATAAGGCATAGATCAGCGGTCCGCGACAACAATCGGCCGCGGCTTTATATATGTACCCAGGCCTATGGGTGTATAAAATTGGCGCGGCCTGCAGCAACTTCCTGTGTCATCTACTGCAATTGGCGCGATCGGCCGAGTGGGCGACGTATATACTACGCGAGAAGGAGAGAGATCTCACGTGTGTGTGTATATATATAGAGTCTATGAATGAGCTCGTGTAATGGTACGTATAGACGCCTACGCGTACTACACTCCTCGATTATTGCTCGCGCGCTAAACTATATACTTTCGCAACTCGCGCCGAGCTATAAACGGCCAAGGAAATATCCGACGTTTTCATGTTCTTTGCGCAGCGTATATAGCAACGAGCCTATGTATTGTAGCGTTTTTTCATTCTCTCTTGAAAGAGCCGAGAGAGACTCGAGACGTTCTTTTGCGCGCGCTTGTTGTTTTTAACGCGCTACGAGGTACTTTAGCTAAGTCAATATTGTCTTACGATCCGTGTATATAGTTTATAATTGCTTGTTTGAGCTTTCTTCGCAGCGATCATCGCTGCAGCGAGAGAAAAACGGCCGTGCGTAAGCGCGTCCGATTCGCTGCAGCCGATCGCTGCATTACAACGTGCTCCACGGCACAGGTGAATCTCGTTTTGTTTTTAACTCGGTAATACATCGCGCGAGAAAAAGTCCCGTTGCGCCGAAATCCGCGGCGTCGAATGCAATTTGGTATAGCTGGTCGTTCGAGAGCTACGTCGATTTTTCTTCCTTTCACCGCACTGCGGACTGGACCGGCGGCGCGGCGCAAAAAAGTCGCGCATCTCATTAACGATATCGTACGGGTACACACTACACGCAGTGGACTGGCTTTCCTCCATTCGCGTTGGCATGCTTTTCATTGAGCCAAGCGACTCTCTCTCTGGCGGCGCACACAGCAATATTATGTAGGAGTAGGTAGAGAGCAGATTGGCGCGCGCGTGTAAGAGAGCGTGTAGGAGAGCGCGAGGCCACCGTTCGGCCGTTCATTCATGATTTTCCTCGGCGCGTGCCACATCGGCAGCGATCGGAGTGCTGCTGCCTCCTCCGCAGTGCGCAGCGCACGTACGTAATAATCGCGTGGGCGCGTTCGCCTCGCTCGCACGTATCGTATTATATATACCTTGGCTATGTACGGCTTCTCTCTCTCTTGATCTCGGAGCTTTCTTCTCCGGCGACTGGCACGAAACGTTTCACCGCTTAATTACGCTCGCAGCTCTCGGTTACCTATGTGTGCAGCATGTAATACCGATGCAGCGCCGCGCCGGATGCAGCACCTATATGCTCCTAAGGTCCCGGCCATTATTTTCCACCTAATCGCTCTTTGTGCTCCAAAGGCGGCTAATCTCGAACGCCGTGCCGATCTCCGCGATCGTATCGACTACGACTAAGCGGGCCAACTAATTTTCCATCCGATCCGCTCCCACGAAACATATAATGTAACTCGTCGAAAATTATTCCTCGAGAGACTCGCGAGTAGCCGTGGCTCGCGAGTGAGCGATTTATCGCGACGTGTTACGCAGTGCAGCGAGCGACGACACACCGACCTGACGCGCAACTACTATCCCAGGCTTAAATATTATTTCAAGAAAGTCATTTTCGGCCTGTCTCTCGTGTTCACCCGAGCTCGTGTCTGAGAGTCGCGAATGCCGAGTACGACGAGAAACACGAACATTCCACTTGTCTCTCGCTTTTCCTCAAAGTGCGCGCGCACGAGCCAAGAGTCAACGCCTGTGTACACGCGACGCGAGCCTAAAAAAAAGAAAAGAGAGAAAAAATAAGAAACTTAAAGAGAAGATTACACGCGTGGAAAACATCGCTGCTGCTGCTGCTGCTGCTGCTGCTTTGCGCGTAGCAGCCTCGTGTACACTCCGTGCACGTTCTATTTTCACTTTTGACTCGTCGCGGCGCGGCTTGCATATAACGTTAAATTTAGAGATATACTCGCGTGTCTTCCTATGCACCCACACGTGAACTTTGCCGCGACAATTTCCCCGCGGAGCACACTCCAGTACAGGTGAACTCATGCGATGCCTTTTTCTTGACTTTTTCCAGACCGAGCCAACACAACATGGCTGCGACAAGGAGCTTTTTCACCGATGCGGTCTGGCTTTTCATCCTGCTCGGATACATGGGCGTCTCTGGTGAGTCATGTCTATACACCTATATAAGACGATTTTATTTCGTCGCGCAATTAAGCGTCGAGCGTCTTTGAGGAATCGAGCGCGCGCGCGGCACAGTCGCCTTTTCCTCATTGTCATTTTTTCGTCAAAGTCGATTGCGATATCGCGCCAAACACGCACTAATTGCGCGCGTAAATGTTCCGAGCGTTTTTACGCGCACGCGATCTTTTGCGGAGAAACTATCTCGCGAGGCTAAAGTCGAGCGAATCCGTGAGAAAATTTCAATCGCATACGTCGTAGACGCGCATCGTTGTATACAGAACTCTTTGAATAGCTGGCTAATTCGTCGACTCTATTCCGAAACAGGCCAGAAATCCGAGCCTGGAATGGTGTTCACGAAGCACCCGAGGGCCTTCATCGCGCCGCTCGGCGACGAGGTGAACTTCGAGTGCAGCCTCAACCTCGCCGCGGAGAAGTTCGTCTGGCGACACAGGCCCCTCGGTTCCAAGGACTGGAGGCTCATCGACTCGGCTAGTCCCGCTGGCGGCAAGACGTCCAAGCACGTCGTCTACTTCGACGACGAGTCCAAAGCCGGCGATTATCGATGCGTCGCTTTTTACGGTATTTATGCGACTCGCACGCACTCGTGTGTCGTTCAACGGATCGTTATACGATCGTTCGTTTGAATGTTGCAGGAACGAGCGGCTTGGCCTCGAACCCGGCGCGACTGACCCAGGCGCGGATCGAGCGCTTCGTCGACCGGAGCGACGTGCACTGGACGGTGCCGGCGGGCAGCAACGTGCCCATCAGCTGCCCGGTGCCCACCAGCGTGCCCGAGGCCATAGTGCAGTTCTTCAAGGACGGCAGCCAGATCGAGACTCTGGCGAGCCAGCCGGGCAGCGGCAAAGTCATGATCCTGGAGCGCGCCCGGGCCTCGGACTCGGGCAGCTACCACTGCCAGGCCAACAACTACATCACCTCGGAGACGTTCACGAGCAATCACAAGACGGTGCTGAGGGTCGTCAAGCAGATGCCCGATCAGGCGCCCTACTTCATAAAGCAGCCGCTCCACGAGTACGAGGTGGAGCGCGGCAAAAATGTCACTCTGGAATGCTTCGCCATTGGCTATCCCATTCCCCAGGTATATATATACGCTATATATGCAATCGACGAGCAGTGAGAAAAGGCGAGGAGCGGCGGCGGTGCGCATCTTTTGATTTAAAGCTAGCGAGTCTCCGCGAGCGGGCTTTTTTTGCCCCTGCGGAGGAATCTCGTATGGTCTTTCGCACGGCGGACGCGCTAGCGCTTTTACCGGGAAACGGTCCCGAGGTTTTGCGCGCTGCTTCCTCTCCTTTTCCAAGAGCTCGTTTTTGCAAATTTGCAAATTTCTGACCGTGTGCTTGGGTGTGCAGGTAACGTGGACGAAGCTGGGCAGCGTGCTGCCCTCGCGATCGGCCTACTCGGCCAACGGCCTGAGCATCTCGAACGTGCAGCCGGGCGACCGGGGCGAGTACGACTGCGAGTGGAGGAACCAGGTGGGCCAGGTCAAGGCCAGCGTCATACTGACGGTCGTGGAGGCGCCCCAGGTGCTGCAGCCGCCCCGGCTCTCGACCTTCCCCGAGGGCGGCGAGCTCGAGCTCTCCTGCAACGCCAGCGGCCAGCCGCCGCCCAGGATCGAGTGGCTCATCAACGGCGAGACCCTCCAGCCGAGCAAGAACCTCGAGATCAAGGGCTCGAACCTCTACATCTCGCTCGTGGAGAAGAGGCACGCGGGCATCGTCCAGTGCGTCGCCAGCAACGACTACGGCTCCCACTCGGGCTACAACTTCCTCAAGGTCAGCCCGAAGCAGCACATGGGCGCCGCTTACAAGCCTCGAGGTGGCGGCAACGAGCACGGCATGGCCGGGGGCGTGCACAAGCACACCCGGGGCGGCGGACGCAGAAGAGGCAAGAACGGTAAACGCAAGGATCGATTGGGTAAGTACTCGAACCAGCCTCTGTTTCAATAGTACTTGGATCACTGATTAAAATTGATGAAATTCGCAGCTATCATGGTACCTCCGAACCAACCAAACATCACGAGGCTCTCGGACGTCTCGGTGATGGTGCGCTGGTCGGTGCCGGAAAAGTCCGGATTGCCCATTCAATTCTTCAAGGTGCAGTACCGAGAGTTGGGCCAGAAGCCCAGCAGCAACAGTAAGCAGGCCAAGTGGATGACCGACAGCACGGAAATAGCCAGTCACATTCGATCGTTCGAGGTTTCGGATTTGCAGCCCGATCACACCTACCGCTTTCGCATCGCCGCCGTTTACTCCAACAACGACAACGCCGTCAGTCCGATTTCGGTGAGTGGACGCCTGCGATTAAAAACAAATTAAGTGAATCGCGAGGTTGATTGAAAAATTTTCAAGGTCCGATTCCACCTGACGCGCAAGAACGGCTTCGACACCAACACCATGCCGATCCCACTGCTGACGCACACGGAGGCTCTGGGACCGACGGAGATCCGACTGCTCTGGCAGAACACCAACTACTCGGCGGACATCGACGGCTTCTACGTGTACCATCGGGCCTCGACCTCGGCCGGCGACTACATCAAGACGACCGTGGAGGGCAGGAACGCGACCAACATCACGATCGCCCACCTGCAGCCCGACACGGCCTACGAGTTCAAGGTGCAGAGCTTCTCGGTGAGCGCCGCCTCGGAGTTCTCGCAGATCCTCAAGCAGAAGACGAAGAAGCTGGCGACGGAGGCGCCGCCGGCCCGCCAGCCGCTCCCGGGCGCAAACAACAAGGACCACAGCACCGTCGAGACCGTCGACAGCTCCAACATCTACGCCATCATCGGCGGCATCGCGGGCAGCTGCCTGCTCCTCGTGGCCGTCACGGCCATCGGCGTCACCTACAAGAAGAGCAAGCAGAAGCAGAGCCGCGAGCCTTCCCAGGATCAGAGTGAGTGGCTTTCTTTCGCTTTTTTTCAACTTTTCACTCTTTAGAGATGATGTAATTTTGCGCGTCGATTCGCAGGCAAGCCGATTAGCAACGGCAGGGTACTCAACGGCAATATCGCCGACTCGAAGATTAACATAACGTCGAATCCGCTGGCCGGTCTCGAATCGAGCGAGGACCCGAGGCAGCAGCCAAAGGTCAGTGATTGAAAACAACCAACAACAAAACACAATGGCAAATTGATGCTTTGAACGGTTCATTGGACTCGATAATGGTCGCGCTGCGCCATCTCTCTTTTCTCTCGCTCTACTCGCTCCACTTAAATATATAGTTGTTGTATTTGAATCTTGAGCTTGTAAGCATCTTTGCGCTGCTACTGTTGCTGCTACATACATTTATTATATATTATTGTACTTGGATCGGCGAACCTCTGCGAGTAGTTGTGCCTCTGTCGATCTATCTGCGAGCTCTCGATATAGACGATCGCTTGTAGCAGCTGTTGGAAATTTCCCTCGTGGATGATCCTATCCTCGTCGGTCAGTGTATGTCTCGATTAAACTGCCAAACGATATTTCCGTACGCATACACTTTCGGACGAGCGCATCCAGTAAAGACGAGAAGTACTCTTTCTTTTTTTCTTTCTTTCTTTCTTTCTGTCTCTCTCTGGCCTGTAATTTTTTGTTATCTTTCGTATCTCTATTACTTGGCTATGTGGTGTCGTGCGAAAAAAAACAAAAAAAAAAAAAAANTATGTGGTGTCGTGCGAAAAAAAAAAAAAAAAAAAAAAAAAAAAAACAATTGCCAAAACAATGCCAGTCAACAAACACGCACGTAGGTCTGAAAAGACTCTTGCTACTATCCGCTGTAGATGACAAAAGAAGCGAAACGAACGAACGAAAGAACACGCATGTTTCTAAACGCAGAGCGGCCTGCACCAACAACAGCCCTCAATGGAAATGGCTTCGTTTCTTAACGGCCAGAACAACAACGGCATCGGGCTAGCGGCCGCCATGGCCAATGGTCATCCGGTAGCAGCGTCACCATCGCCGCCGCCGCAGCCGCAGCCGGCCCAACCACTCAACCCGCCGATTCAACTGCAAGTCCCGACGACGGTCCTACCCCCGTCGGCCAAGAACCACGTCAACTCTTACCCGGTGGTTGCTCTGCCGACCTCGGCTCTCGCTCATCACCAGCAGACCCACCACCAGGAGTTGAATTCCATGCCGCCGATGCCTCTGGCCGCGCCACCACCGACCGCGTCTGCTCTTGCGGACGCCCCAGCCTCCTCGCCGATGCCCGCTATTCAGCTTCAAGCGCCCATACCCATCGAGCAACCATGCTGAGATGCCCAAGCGCCACCTCGAACCTTGCCTCGACTGAATCCTATTATAACTACCTATCCTCGATTTTATAGGACCGTTAGCTTTACTGGTTTAGCTATCGAAATTTATTATTTCGCTATCCCTTCGTCTTGTGTAAATTCAATTTTAGGCCACTTTTTTTATGTTTATTTATCCATGTGTCGAGCAGTGATTTATATTAAAACGTATTTTTACTATTGTGTATATATTTACGCTACGATTTAGCGTTCTCGAGTAGTATTTGTACAAGGAAGAGCCAAGCTGTGCGACACAGTACGTCATGATGTAGTCCTGAGAATGGACTTTATCCTCGACTTTGACGTTGACGTTTTAATTTTAGTAGTTATTTTATTTAGGTTTTTCTTTGGGCTTGGCCGAGCTTTCATGTTCTGATTTGCCTCGAGAGTCAGCGTTGTCTCGCCGATCAACTTTCTCTTCATTCTTCTCTACCGACTGGTCTTTCTTGAAGGGCTTTTTCTCCCCAGGGTTTATCGTCTTCGGTAACGTTCCGCAGTGTTGGCTTGCATTCAAGTCCCACTGAGTATGCTGAGACGGTCGCGGGGGGGTACGGTGTCATGGGGCCCGGAAACTGGTACCGGACTGTCGGTGAGAAAGCCAGTGTTCCGAAATCTGCCATCCCATTCGTGGTAGTGGAAGTAAATACCGATCGCGGGACCAAATTAAACCCGCAAGCCGAGAGTCAGTCAAGTCCTGCGAGACTATCACATATTTTTTTCCCAGGTTGTTTTTTTACTACGTTATATGGTTCTATATAGCAACGTGAAAATTCCAATTTACTCATCTTCCTCATTCATCTTTGTAAATAAATATCTTTTCCAATCGTATATTGTGTATATGATGAACTAAAACGTGATGGACTTCGTAGATAAATTTTGATGAGAAAAATATTCTTGCGGATAATTTTATTCTAGCTAGCTTAATAGAAAGATAATAAAACTCGTTTAAAAATGGCTATGCCATAATTATTCAACTAACAGTATTGTTTTTTAACTATACGATTATTTTGTAAAAAATAAAACTTTTATAATAATGATTGAGATTAATTAGTACCTTGGAGCTGCAAATTTTTATTTATAGTCAGAAATAATGCGGCTTCCATGTGTTGTAATGTAAAAAAAAATGAAACATTGAATGGTAAATATGTAAATATTTAATTTAAAAATTACGCAGAGCTGCGGAACCAAGTGAAAACATTATGAGATTGTATAACTATTTTTTTTATAAATGTGAATTGTAAATAATTGTGATGATTGTGATGCCTGTCAAAAAAATTCATTTATGTAATCGGAGAAAATACGAAATTATAATACATTATTATTATTATTATTATTATTATTATTATTATTATTATTATTATATCCAAGCATAATACTTGATTGCTTACATGTATAGTATTTATAAAAAAATGTGCGTTTTTTCATAAAACGGATAAATTGTAAATATAGAGCTTAACGACAAATGGAGTATGCATACAAACAAACAGTCCTGTCAATTTGTACTTAATTTTGTCTTTTATAATAAATTACTCGTAATACAAAATACTATATAGCCAGTATAATTATTTATACTGAAGAAGTTTGATATTATTTACTACCCACAATTGTTCTCAGCGTCATTAAGTAAGATATCGTGGCGGAAAAAATCTGTAAATTTGAATAAAGATGAGTAATAACTATTTCCTAAAAAAAAAAAATCGATTCGTACCCCTCTCAAGTATCTTCGGTCGAGGGCAGACATGAGACCGCTGACGCATATGACGGGTTCTCGTTGACACTTTTGAATGATGATGGTCTTTGCCGTGGACATTTTGGGAGTTTCGTCGTACCAAGACGTTGAATAAACGGTCATGGCAATGTCTCTTCCCTAAAAAGAAGGTAAAATAAATGTAAGCTCGAAGTGAATTGAGTTGTAGCTCGATCAACCGACCGCTGCGGACATGTTATTTGCACTCTCGGCGCACAGGTAGAGTCGAGCGTAGGCCAAAAAAAGTATGGATATTTGATGAATCATCACAGTTTGCGCCGTATTCTGCCACGAAAAAATAGATAAATCATTGTATTTTCAATATGTAATATTTTATTTTGTTGTCATGAGAAACTTGCGTTCAAAATTTGCAATCCGGCACCGAAAACGTATGACATGAAGAAAGCCGTAGTTTTCAACACCATAAATCTGAGTATCCGGTTCGTGTCCTTGATCAATCTATTTGAGATATGGAAAAAATATTTTGGTAAATATTCAGTGGATCGATAAAAAATTCAACGGACTATATAGAACTCACGCGAGAACGTCGTTGTGCTCTCGAACGCAGGCGACCAAGTGCTCGTAAGAGCGCGAGTCACGAAAATGCTTGTCCAGCTGCTTGAGACGATCGGTACAGGTGAAAATGAGAAAGACGGCGATACCGTCGAAGTTGGCCACGATGTAGGCGTGAACGAAGACGATCGCTTGATTGACCCAGAGCAGCCACTTGATCGGGTTGTCCTCGAGGCGAAACGGGTACGAGGCCGAGAGGGCCAGTTCGTTGTTGCCGGTTTTCGGCTTCTCCAGGATGATGTACATCATCACGACGCACACGTAGAAGGCCAGCGTGGCCAGGTAGACGATCGCGTAGTAATTGGCGTAGAAGCGCACGACCCTTCGCTTCTTCACGGCCAGCTGCTTCTCGGCCAATCGGAAGAGCGACTGCTCGCACGAATTAGCTCTGAGATCGGTTTAGCGTATAGCAAGAGTTGGACAGAGATCGGCATACCTCGAGGCGCGAACGTTGCCACCTGCTGAAAATCATGACGGCGGTGGCCTCGGTAAAGACGGTGCTCTCGATCCACGAGTACGAGGCCGACACGATGTTCCTCCGGTTGATGTAGAGGCCGTAGAGCGTCGGCACGAGGATCGCCACGTAATTCAGCAGGTAAAACCACCAGAAGCAGTTGAGCAGGAGACCGAGTCCTTTGCTCTGGCCCCTGTCCAGTGGCCAGATGGTCAGACTCTTGCCGAGGAAGCTCAGCACCCGGTAGCTCCACGTTGCTTTTATGTAAAAACCGCTCATCCTGAAATATTGGCCAGCAGCAGCTGCCGCTCGCCGAGTACCAAGTCGACTGATTCGGTCGCATGCATCGGCCTAGTCTTCGTTCAAGGACTCTCCCAATTTTCGCTTCCCTACGCGGACTCGTTTGCGCATACATTTGGAGTTAATGATCGAGGCCTTGTTCGCCCGCGTTCAACCCTACATCGTCGTCCGAGTGTCAACAACTCCCCACACCGTCCGCACTCGTATGGAAATGACCGCGAGCTACCAAATAATATGACTAATGAATTACTTCGTATTTGCACACGGCTACGTGTTTCCGTGCAAAAGGACGCGACCAAATACATACTCCGTGTGGTTCGCAAACAATCAACGTACTTATAATTACAAGGATTATTATAGATAATGAGAGAATGTTTTGCGCGTTCAATAAGCCGACGAATAATTGCATTAATGTAGTAGATACGGAAGCAACCGTCCTTGCCACTTCTGTTTTATCTACGCAGCACATGAACTTTAAATTGAAAATCCGGCAAAAATGCTTCAATCAAAACGATACTTGGCGGGATAACCGTGATGTGTATCCATACGTAAAACATCATGTCAAGTGCACAATCGTGGTAATTGCGGTTTAATTCTTCGTTACGCTTGTGTTACAGAATACCCTGCCAATGTTATTTGTTGACTCTACTCAACGTTCGACTCTGAAGAGATTTATTTTGACTTTTTTACCCAAGTTAATAGTGAGTCTTACATTCAAACAAATGCTTCAAGTTCAGTCATAGCTTTTATTTTTTAAACTTTATTCATTTAATAATTCATCGTCGTAAAGACAACTATTGAATAGAACAGTTCTTCCATTTTTCAATGTATTGCATTTTCAAATAAGCGACAGTGTTTACCTTTTTCAACGTGTATCGTCTTTGAGGTTATAAACTTTGCTTGCCGGCACCTTGTATGTTTTTTAAACTATAAAAGAAAGAAGAAAGAAAAGAATTTCGAAAACTCAAGTCCAATCTTTTACTTGCTCATTCTCTCTTCTTCGTTTTTTATAATTTTTCATATTGTATAATTGACAAAATATATGCTTACAGACTACTGTTTTTTACACTCACTAAATAGTCTATTTTTATTGCAGATTTCTTTAGTATAAGACATCATTAATCTTAAAAAAGATTATGTAAAAATATATGCAGTGAGTAAAAAAAGAGCTTGAGCCATTTTCATTAAAATTCTTAAATAGCTTTTGAATTAATTTATTTGTATTTCAGATTGTTGTAAAAAATATACAGATTTGATGAAAGTTTAAACGGAATCAAACAGAATTTCTTGTTATTCAAGTTTTAAAAGTAGTAATCATGGATTATAAATTAGGATACCGGGAAATTATCCCAGATCAATCTTTGCCAGATAAATGGAAAGAAATAATTATAAGTACTGGAGGTAGTCAAAGTACTCTACAAGATATAAAAGTGTCTGAAAGAGCTGGAGGATATTGTTACAAGCCATCATCAAGATATTTTACGCAAAATCGTTTCATCTACTGGAGAATAGCTCATGATGTTTTGGAATTGGTTGAATACAGTCTTGACATCAATCTTGTAAACAATCAAGTCAGATATAAATTCACAGATACTCCAATTCTTGAAGGAATCACAATTCATGAAACAGCTAATTCTATTGTAATATTAGTTGTTACGGTTTCTAGTGTACACAAACTCTCCTTTGTGCATCCTAAAAGAGTTCACAAACAAGATCAAACTCTAGTTTCTACTGCTGAACTCACAATGCAATCAATATTCAGTGAAGCAACTGTTCAAGCAGCTAGAGATCCAAGTACTCTCTATGTCATTCCCAATGTTGGTCTGACAAATTCACCTGTTGCCCATGCAGCTGCTTCTTGGCTTACCATGCCTCAAGAAGAAGCTCAATTTGCCTTAGCCTATGATACAGGATTAATTTTATTATTACGCATGGATACTGTGACTGGTTTGGTACATTCTAGTGAACTTAAGCATGAATCAATAATGCCTCGTTTCCTTAGTGGATTAGCTACAGCATTTCGCCGCAATAATGATCAAGAAATTCCAATGTCGCTTGTTATACATTCACATGGTAGTGAAGTTTATTTATTTGCTCTATATCAAGAAGGAACACTGAGGATGTGGTCTTGCAATAAGACCCAGTGCATAGCTGTAATTAATGTCTCTATGAATAATCAAAATGTAGTGAAAAATATTCAAAATCATGCATTGAAAAAAGTCAGTGGAACAAAGAGCGACGAATTGTATTTGACTACGTATTTAAAATATGATTCAAGCAGCGAATTTTGTGTTTTAAAAGTTGTCCAAGAAGCTGGATCATTCAAGCTTAATCGAATGTGTACATTGCTTGCACCAGATCACCATCTTGTAGATTTTTCATTTACGACTCAAAAATTGTGGGCGGTGTGGAGAACTATTGAAATTGATTCAATTGCAATTACACATGTTCAGTTACCTTTACACAATAACCAAATTAGCTGCGAATGGGAATCAGCTGAACTTGTGCAACCACCTGACAAAGATTACATCATCAGTGAAGCTTACATGGATCCTAGGGAAACATACATCAATTATATATTTCACCCTGGAAAATTTGCTTTAGCAGATATCATACGAGCTTTGAGTATTTATCGCAAAACAAATTTCTTAATCGATATAAATCTTTCACCAGCTTTACTCAAAGAAAGAGTTTGTATGGCAGTTGAGGCTGAAATTCAAAACGAAGTAATGGATTACGAATTAATGGACGAAGAGTATTTGGAAATCGTCAACCGATGTTGGTCTAAATTTTACTCTCGCATTCTACAGTATCACCTTAACAGATCGAGACCCGTAGGTTTGTTGCTGTTTCCAAGCATCGATGGCATAGTTCTTTTGAAGAAATCTTTCTTTTCTGTGCTAAGACCAATGGAACCTTTGGAGCATTTGATGCTGTGCAATGAGCAGTCGACAATTTCGCATTTTAGAAATACGCCAATCCTTAACGAGGATCCAAACATTTGCCAGGATTTGATAATTCTTATGTCAACGATAGTAGCTCTTGACAATCAATTATCGGACGATTTCAAATCTACATTTGAAAAAGAACTGTATCAACTCAAAGCGCCTGATAAAATAATCGACAACTTGATGTCGAAATTATCATTTCAGAAAAATGATTCATTTCTAGATTTTGATTTTCAACTCGTATTCCAGCAAAAACTCGGAAATGTCAAGGACCTATCAAGCGCAATCACGATGCTTTTAGCAATGCTCACCTACGATATCGATCAAGATGGTAAATCTCAACATCATAGTAGCCGCAACAAACTCCTCGATCATCCATTTGGAAGTCAGCTCGGTATATCAATGACGTCAGAAATTATCATACAAATTTCACTCTTGAGATTTTCTCTCTGCAGAAATTTGTTGGTATTACAGAAGCTGGCCCTGTCGCGTCCCGAAACTTTGGATTCGGAGACGTTGCACTCGATCAAATCGTCGCTGATACCACGAACGGTGGTGTTGGTTCAAGCCTACTACGTTACGACGTGGATCTGCGAGTCAAACCCGTCGGTCACGCCGTCTCAAGCGCTGCTGGAGACGAGCGTGCAGCGTCTTGCGCTACTCAAGCTATCAAACGCAAAATCCGTCATCGGTCACCGACTGTCGAGATCGGTATCGCTTCTCGAACTCTACATTCAGTGCGGCGTCAAAAGAACTTTGCACGAGCTAGATCGAAATCGCGACAGTTCCGCTTCCGTTTCGTCGGATCTGCTCTCCTACGTAAACACCGTAACGCAGTTGATCTGGCCGATTTCGGAGAACTTTTTGTTCCCAGAGTGGCTTTTATCGAACGGACAATTTCTTATTCTCCAAGAATACGTGAGATTGCTGAGCACTTGGTGCGAGCGAAACAATGCCTCGAGAAAATTCGCTCTGGCCGTCAGTCTGCTAGAGATGGGCGAGCCGCAAAAGGCCTGCGACTACTTCCTCAGAGCGGCCGACGGTGTATTGGTCGACCCGTACCTTTCGGACTTGCTGCTCACGTCCGACGTAACGACGGAGAAGGGCGCACTGGTCCTTTATTTTCTCAAAGTCATCGAGATATTCGAGCAGCATAACGCGTACGATTGCATAATCGAGCTGGCCATGACCGCGATGACTGTTACCGAAAAGGACGATCCTATTCTGCCGACTCTACATTCCATCGTATTTACGCAGCACCTTAGTCTGGGCCATTACACGGAAGCCTACAACTGCCTCAACACCAATCCCGATGCCGAGCGCAAAGTCGACTGCCTGAGGCAGTTGGTCGTCACTCTCTTCGACCAGAAGAATCTCTTGGATCTCGTCAACTTCCCTTACGTTGACATGTATCAAGATTTGGAAAAGATCATGGAGGCTCGTTCTCGCAGCGTCGATTTGGCTGACAACAATTATTACGATTTCCTCTACAGTTTTCACATCAACAAGGGCAACGTTCGAAAGGCCGCGTCGATCATGTACGAGCAAGCGATCCGGCTGAATCAAGAATTACCGTCGATTGGAGTGTTGGCGCGCCAAGTCAACTGTCTGCTGGCCTGCATGAACGCCCTGTACTTGGTGAACGAAAACTACCGATGGATCGTAAGACCGGTGGTCGATCGCAACATGCTCAATGGCTGCAAGGATCAAGACGAGTCGAGAATCATGAAGGACGACGAGATACGTCAGCACCAAGTCGAGAGGATCACGGAGGTACTAGAGTTCGAAGATATTCGTCGAGAGTACCAAATGGCTGAATCCAAGTACAAAATAGCCACAATGCAGTCCGACGTTAATGCGGTAATTCACGCGGGTCCCGAAGAGATGGTCGCCATCAATGCGAATCTGGGCCTTTACGTTGACGCGCTTAATATTTGCGAATCGTTCAATCTGCACAAAACTATGGTCCTGCAGAATCTCACCTCGCATTGTGTTAGGGTAAGCGAAAAAAATCAAGAATCCTGGGATTGGCTAGTTCACAACGATGTGGTTGACTTGGAAGTTTCGACTCTGAATCCCACCAATATGTGCTGGAAATTACTTGAAAAACTGACTTTGACACTTGAAAAGGAAGGCGAGACGATATTGCATAAATGCGTTGCCGAAAATCTCTTCCATCATGGAGCTTTCCTCCCAGAGTGGCTATTTTCCTCTTACGTTGAAAAAAATGCAGCCGAATTACTAAGACTCATGATGAAGATGGGCAGGTTGGAAGAAGCTGCTCAGTTTTCTTTGGAGTACATACAAAAGTTACTCGGTAAGAGTAAATATGACGGTCGCTTCAAGACTAGAGTGGAAACCGGTGAAAAGAACCGAGACAGTTACGTACCGATAAATGCGATTGAAAATCTACTAATGGAGTTGGAAGCTGCAAGCGCCGATGATCGTAGTTACGGGGAACTGTTTAAATCTTTAGACTATTCACTAAAGGAATACATCAAAAATATGCAACAGGTGTCGCATGACGTACTGGAGACTTACAAATACAAATGAATGAATGGTTTATTATCAGTTTCTCATCGTGTCTCATGGTTAAATGTTTATTATTAGATGCAACGGATTATACGTTAATTTGTATGATGGATTTACCAATAAAAGGCTTTATGTAATAATCATTATTTATGTATAGAAATTGATTCAAGTTTGTTTTATCTTTTCAAAAATAAATTCAATACTTTTTTTTACTAAAATATGTATTTTTTAAAAATAATGGGATTGTTTCAAAAGAATAATGATAGCACTGCTCCAAATATATATATATATTAATCAACATTATAAAATTCTTTATTTGAATTAGGTCCTGTAAAATAATCAGCATGCCTTAACAAATGAATTCTTAACTGCTTTCTTATATTGGTTGAGAATGAACAATAAATGCACTCAAATCTTCTCATACAAACTTTCAAATGATACTTATAACTTTGTTCACCTATTCGTATCTTGCCACATTGACCACATTTATAAGATTCATTTGACCCAAAAACTGGATGTTTTGATGAAATATGATTTCGTAAAGTTGCTCTGCGCTCTGATGAATAATCGCAGTGGGCACATTTATACACAGCAATAGAGATTTCTTCTTTTACATGACGATAAGCATTGCAGCGATCTTGCATTATCTTATCACATAATTTACATTTAAAGATAAAAGTAGTGTCACAAACTTCACATTTAATTAACAAATTAGCTGCACCTCTTTCATATAATTTATCACAATTTTGGCAATATTTCCACATGAAATTTGAAACATCTGCAATCATAACAAATAAATAGAGATATTTGTTTGTATTATATTTAAATTAGTACTAATTTACTTACTTTCTTCATGTTTTGGTAAAGCCTCAATATCAACATACTTCATATCACCATCTAGAGAGAATGAACATCATTAATAATTTTTATTTAAGTTTATAAAAGTATAAAATAATATTTATTTACTTCTAATTAATTTATTTCTATTCAGTCTTAATTTAGACAAAAATTGTTCCAAAACTTCAGAACCCAGTGCCTTATGAACTCGATTGTAATGCTGTATCAATCTATGTCTGCGATTGGAAGTCATGGGACAGATTCGACAAGCAAACAAAAGTTGTGTTCTGTTACAACCATAGAGATGATTAATAATTTTTTGTATTTTAGCATATTTCCTCCCACATATTTTACAAGTCATCAGATCATTTTCATCTCTTTCTGGTGTATGTTTAGTGATTTCATGTCTATATATAGCTGCTTCTTTGGGCCTTTTAAAGTCACACTGATTACACATGTACAGCCCTTTTTTATCTTGTTTTGCTAAAGTGGCATTAACTTTAGATTTTGATAAAATTTCTGTCAAGAGATAAATTGAAATTAGAAATGTTCACAAATGTAATTTGCAAACTGTAAGTACATACTTTGAACCTTTTCTAAATTTTTTGGTTCCTTCTTTTTCTTTTGAAGAGATTCAGCCACTAGTTCCTCTCGACTATAATATCTAACATCAAGAGGCTTTTCCCCTAAAAAATGATCGGAAATTCAAAATATTAAGTACTCATGTAATTGCTATTATCATATTACCACTTTCAGATGGAGATGTTAATATTTCTATTTCCGTGTCATCTTCTTCTTCGAATTCATAAATTTCATAGATTTCATAATCGTAATCTTCTTCGTTTGATTCTTCAATTGGTTCATCTGCATCGAGATCCACTTCCTCTTTAATTATCGTTCGGTTGTATGTTGATGAATACGTAAATTCATCGTCTGATTTGAGTATAATTATTATTATACTTAAAAAAATAATAAAAACCTATAATGAAATCCAAGTTGAATTAAAAATACCTGAAAGAGTTTCGTTCTTCACAACCGGCTCCTCTTTTACAACTACATTTTCGTAGTGCGTGTTTTCATAACTGTCAACCGGCTCAGTTTTTATAGTCACGTGTTCATGAAGGCTATCCATTTTCTGTTCCAACACTGCATACAATGCGAATCATTTCGTCAAATACTACTAATACTATCGGAAAGAATGAAAACAAGAGAAGGCTTGTGTGTAGGCCATAGCGAAGCATAGAACAGCAATGTTTTTGTTTATATGAGAATTACTAACCTAGAAATTATGCGCAGAGAGTATTTCTGTGGAAAGTTCAAAATTCTATCACGTGACGTCGTTCGTACCATTTTACATGTTATAGATACGGTTCGATGTCAGCTATAGCTTACGGCAATTGGTTCCTTCATTGATTTCATTTCTACGAAAAAATGTGGCTTATTTTTTCTACTTTTAATTAATCGCATAAAAGCTAATACGATTCATGTCTAAACTGGAATTGAAGAAAAATCTAATTAGAAACTCGTTTCTTCCTTCTTTGAAGAAAACATCGATATTTTTGTAAACTCAAGGTCAAAATCATTATAAAATACGATGCGTTCAAAGACAAGAACACCGTTGCAGTTTGATGATAATGCGCCAATCGTGAGCAAATTTGATAGTTTAGTTTTCCACGTGCAAACGTATACTTTACATATACTTTTAATGATTTGAAAAAAAACCAGCTGCATATATGACATGCACTACTACATATACAAATAATCAGCAAGTATTTTTTCAGTTGAATCTTCGATTGATGGCGTAATGGTACGTCATTATTGTATATACGCTGCAGTACAATAAACTTCACGTAAACATTGTAGTATTGTACTCGCATATGCGTGATCTATTTTCGAGAAAATACAGCTTTTATTCGAGTTTTCATAACAAGTGCTCGAACGAAGAAATATCATCGTGCATTTTTTGTGAGGAACTCGAAATTGCCCTTATTTCGAAGAAAATAAATTTCGGAATTAAAACCTCGGTTACTCAAACATTTGCTCGTACTTTTCAAGTTTAAATTACTCAAATTTTCCAATGCGAAATAATTTGAAAAATGCAATATTTCAATACTTTACAATGCAAACTAAACATTTCAGAATAAAAATAAAAGTAAAAAATCGTCTATGGTTATCCTCATTCATATGTTTAATAATAATATTTGTAGTAAAAACTGAACATTTTTTAGTTTTTTGTCAACAAGAGTACACCTAGCATAAGTTGAAATCTTTGTATCTCGAAATAATCGAGTTATTCAAGTCGTGTGTACAAAAAAGTAGTATGCGAAAAGATAATGAGCATTGCTGAAAAAAGACACATTTCACCACATACGCTTTAGACTATCCTTAAAAATAAAGGGAAAATCTTGTTAATATTGAATTCTGATCTTGGCAGCAGAAAATGAAAGAGATGCTAAAATTTAGCGATGTTGAAGACGCATTAATTGTTTCGTTCGAGCAGTACACAAATGAAAAGTTCTTAATTCTGGTTCTAACGTACAAGAAAACGAAACATTTTACGTTACATCAACTATGCATCGAACTCGAAACCTCAATAAGTAGAAATATATATATTGTTCACCAACGATTTGAAATAAGGCGATTTCACTGTTAATGATGATGAGTTATATAGGCTATTTTTTGGTATACCATGCGTTTGGTTTATCGATTTTGTAGATCGAACACACACTTGGCGTATCTTGACTCTCTTATCACTTATTATTTCTTGCTCAATTATAGCACACGTCATACTTGCCAAAGCAGAAAAATGTTAAGCTCATTCGAAATTTTATCCGGCGATGATGTCATTGATGATTCCCTGTATCAATAATAACAATGGTTAATATTGCTACTGCCCTTAATGAGAAAGGTATTTGAAATATGCAAAGGGTTTTCCGGTAGTGAGACATATTACATGGTAAAAGAAATTTGTAGTCACTGCTCCAAATATTATTAGAATGAATATTTTTTCGTATCTATAGATGAAGATTGTGATAATCACGCGATAATAATCTCAAACTTCGCTCCGATTGTAAATGTAAGTTACTCATTTACCCAGATTCCCCCATTGAACAAGATAATGGATGACGGTGTAGATCATTACCTCATATTTGAGTATTTAAAGGTATTATAAATAGAAAAATGATGTATGTTTTCAGGTAAAATTTTACTTTATTTTTATACGTAAAAAAAATTGTACATTTGTTTTCTTCAATAAAGAATGAAAAATATACTTGTATTTAATATATATACTTTTGTTTAGAAAATTACAAATTTTATTTTGCATTTGTTAGACGTTACATATTTGTCAAAACGTATATCAAATCCTATTGAAAATGCTGTTTTGTTGCAATACTTTGTGTTAATGTTCAGCAGTGATTTTTTATAATCAATCATATTTTTTGTGCATTCTGACAAAATCAAGCAGTTGAAAGCTTACAATGTACATTTATATAAATTTTATATATATTTTATTTGCACACTGAATAACTTATTTAAACAATCTATTGAAATACAGTGTGGAAAACTAGTGTCTTGTAACAAATTTTATTCAGAATAATTCTTGAATCATCAACTTTTTAATCACCCTGTTTTTTTCCTTATAGGGTACTTAGACAAATGAAAACTTAGAATTTATATTTCAAAACATTGTCAGCACCTCCCAACTCATTTATTATCATTGAATTGTAGCTTTGTGTACTATATGGCCCCATTTAATAATGATTTTATTAAACTTTATAACCTCGTTCGGCATTCCTTACAGAACTAGCAAGGCAAAAGGCAAATATCACACCAATCAGTTCAATAAATGCAACAGAAATACAAAGTGCTGCCAAAATAACAGCGTACTTCATCAAGAATGGGAATACTTCTTCCTTGCAGGATTTTCGGAATGCCTCATTCGGACTACAAACGTCTGCGTCTTCCTCACCATACTTTCTGCAGCAGCTACCTGGTATAATATGTTTATCATTTCCAAGTAAGTTGGGGAACTCGTTGGGTCCATTGTAACCACAGCACTCGACTAAACCTTGCATGGCATCAATACCGTCCTTTATTTGAGTAGGACCCGTGAAATACTGTAGGTAAGATTTCTCAAGACCTTCGTTGAATTTTTCCTCGAGATTGGAGTCTTTGAACTTGACAAAGGCATAAGCTCCTGCGCTGACTTGAGCAATGAGCAGGAGTATGAGCAAAAGAGCGAACATGATGATCATGCAATAGCTCTCGCGCAACGCCCCGCAGCATCCAAAGAAAGCAATGACGAAGATAATGGCGCCAATTGTGATGAGCAAGGACGCAGGGATGACGGAAACTGGCGTATCTTTGAATTGCTCATAGTCGGAGAGATTTACGCGGATAGCTACACCGCTAGCGAGGATGGCCAGTCCGCCCAAGGCGAAAAGAAAATTGAAGAGGAAAAGAAGCCATCTGACGCAGCCCGATGCACAACCCATTTTGATCGTCTTTTATGAGATTCTTCGGTAGATCTACCTGGAATAACCATCAGAAAGGCAAATACCCATGTAAGAATTATTGGAAAAACCACATATATTATGATTATACGAACGCGTATCTCTCTCTCTCTTTTTCTTTCTGTATTATATGGGTGTTGCGTAGGTATTCTTGTAGGTTTTACGCGTGTGTTGAACGCGGGTGTGCGAGTGTGTATAAAAAGAAGCTGTGCGTTTGTTGAGCACGATTATTGTTATTATTGTTTATTTATATAACAGCCGATGTACTTAATAGAGGATGATGCCTGCTGCTGCTGCTCGCGAGCACGAATTTACACGTATATATAACAAGGTGCGTGTATATAGCGCAGTCAACAAAATGTCAACAAGTGATTCACTGAATATAGAACAGAGAGCGCATATACGGGTGTGTGCGTGCGCGAGCAAGTGTGTATGCGTGAATCACAAATGTAGTACGAGATCATGGACAGGTATACGAAGTGTATGCGTGTGTGCGCGTTCGCGTGTGTGTACCTATGTGTATCGGGTATCACGCACTGGTCTCTGGCAATTGGCACAATCGCATCACGTACAGATAGGCGGTACGCGTATATACTCACTTTTGCACAGGTGTGGATACGCACGTATCGTCTCTATATATAACTATATGGGCACTGGGATGAACACAATGTAAACACGAGAACGCACCGATACCGTATGCGAATGTTAACAGCGGCTCTGCTTGCCAACGACTGGCGACTGGCGAGCTTCTAAGCGCGCGCGAGAGCCGCCCGAGACGTGCCAAAGTACAAAGCGAAGCGGCAGAAGAGCCAAGCAAGCCGCCGTCCCATAGATTCCCCTCTGAACGCGTGCAGTTAGCAGCAGTGGCGTACGCAACGACGAGCGCTTTAAGACTCGGGAAATACGCGCGCTGGTGGCGGGCGTGTCTTCTCATTGGGCATGCGCGAGTCATAAAAATCGCAAAGAATCGACATTCGACTCCGTAAGTCCGTACTCCGTATACGCCGTGTGCCGGCGGCCCCGGCTCGCTACGCAGCTTCGGCTCGCTCGCCGACTTTTGTTCTTTTTTGCAGTCTCGAGTCAGACCTATATTAGTAGTTGCCAATGACAAAACGCGCGCGCGAGCTACCTACATAGCGTGTATACGTTACGTGCCCTCCCGCGTATAACACAACGCCGCGATTACGTCTTACTCGACGCGATAGCGTATACGGGGAATAGGTCAAATTCCCATTTCTTCGAGCTCTCATCGGGATTTACGCACTTTTTTTTCATTCGAGTCGCTGACCGTTGGCGGCGGCTGCTGCTGCTGCTGCTCGTCATTTGGTTTCGCTTCGTCGTTGTTTCTCTCCTGACGTATTGTTATTGGTATCCTATGGCTGCGGCAGCGTCTATGTTGTATGTACGCGTCGTGCCGCTCGAGCTTTCAATTTTTATCGATTTATTTTTACTATCTAAATGGCCGTGGCGCAGCCAGCGTTATTGAACAAAAAAAAAAAAAGACTAATAATAATGAGAAATGAAAACGAACGAGTATTTTTAGCTGACGTAAAGCTACTTCATTTATTTTCAAAGCCTCGGCGTGTACCGTGTATTGGTATACGCACGAGCTTATTAAATTCGAAAAAATTATAATATTTGCGAGAGAAAGTAGAGAAACACAATGATTTTGCGCAGGTAGTTCTTTGTGATTCTTCTTTTACATACTTGGCGAGTGCGAAAGGATGACACTATACACGTAATGTATGTGTCTCGCAAGTACTGCACGGTGCACTTAAATATTTTACGGCTCGATAAGCTCGAATGACTCACGAGCCGACAGGTGCGCGTGTGTGTGTATGTGAGTTTGTATCTCTGATTATTCACAATTCAAATAAAGCAAATGAGGTAGCATGTAAAAAGCGACTTTATAACGAGAAACGTATATAGCTCGCGCGAAGAAGGAGCATTGAGCCTCCTCCCGTACGCGCACAAAAATCTGTTGGGAAGAGATTTCGCTTTTGCCGAATTTTAACGAGCGGCGAAATAGTTTCAACAAGGTCATTAACGATTGGGCCTATCTCTACTTTTGGCGTTTGGCAACATTGCCTTACCAATGAAATTAGCATGACGCTAAATTTTTCGTTTATCGTTGAGGCATGAATCGTACAGAGCACGCAGCCGCTCATGTCAATCGAGGCCTATTGTCTGCTTTCAATTATACAAAAAAAATTATTAAGAACTCGTAAAAATCAGCTTAGCACTCGCCGATTGTGCTTATTTAGTTATACATTACGCAACTTCGTAAAGCGAGTCATATACTTCTTTTTTTTTTAACATATTTTTTGCTCTCCTAATTGTAACTTTTCGATTATGAACTATAGTGATATGTGTTTTTCTTATCGCTATTTGACTTACGTCACGGATGAACGGCGAATGAATAACAAAACAAATCATCGTTATTGAAAAGTTCGAAAATGCTGCGGACTCAGTGGTGGATTATCAGTTTTCATGCTCAATAGCGGATAAGTCCAAGTCGCGTCACATAATGCGAATAAATAATTCTCGTCGGCGGATTTTTTCCAGAGTAGTCCAGTCAAGCAAACAGTCGATAAATTATTCACTGAGCTTTTATTTTTATTGCCAAAGAGAAATTTGTTGTTGCAGGTTTACTTAACGGCAGTTTTTAATTGTCTTTTCGAAAAACGATTTGAAAAGATAACGTTAAAATGATCAATGCATGCGCGCGAACAGTCCGTACTACAATTGAATCCTGCATTTCATTCATCGCGGCTTCTTTTTGTCTGCTGCAAAATCTCTTGATTTATCGCGTATGAGGTATCTTAGGATAATTATTATCTCTGCGCAACTGCTGTACAAATTATATCAATAATAATTATTTTCAAGGTTATCCTATGCTTAAAATTACATTATTACAGAGGTACTTGTCGACCAAATTGAGACATTTTATCGGAAAATTTTTAGTTTTTTTCATGCACAGCTTTTCAAGAGAAAATTCCAAACTTTATCTGGCTAAACATCTTTTACGAGGCTACGAGGATAGTTTTGAGATTGACCCGGCCATTTAGCGGAAACTGAAGACAAAATAAATTTTGAAACACGTTTCCTGATATTTTTTTAAACGACGCGGATGCCTAGAATCAATGAATATAACGAGTTTTTTACTATTTTTCTCGTGCTTATAAAAATTATAATGCTTCCATTCATTTCTTCTTTGAAGATTTTTGTCCATCACACTTCTCGCACACCTACGCCAAATATTTTATTAAAAGTAACGCAAAATAATTATGAAAATAGAAGGTTATTTTTATTTTATCTCATTTTTAGCCGAGTAACATTCTTTCTATAATCCGAAATGCGAAAAGTATCTATGCACGCGATATTCTTCGCCTATTTGTAATCTTTGATGAGTATAGCTAAATCTTATAAAAAAATACCCAAAAAGTTTTAAAATATTTCCTACTTGTTCTGACTGAATCTCGTTTTTTGTGTGTTGATCATCATTGCGTAAAAACAATAAATACGTCCGTATGAATACTAAAACACTTCAAGAGCTGTATTTCAGGAATCGAGGTACTCGAAAAAATGGTGAGACTCTTTTGCTGACTGTTAAAGTGAAGGTTCAAGTTTGCTTGTAAAAAAAAAGGTTAATGCGATCTGCAAAATCAGAGCAGATAATTACGGAAAGTTGCAGTTAAATGCAATAATGAAGCAAAACATGTTTTGATGAATTGACGTGGTAACATTTTTAATTTAATTTGCAAAAAGTAATCGTTCCGTATTCCGTAATATTTTACTAATTTTTTTTGGAATAAAAGTCGGGCTCGGTAATAATGTACTCGGTAAAATTTGTACCGAGCGAGATTTCGGACGTCTAGCAAAGAGAAAGAAAGAAAAGGTCAGAAATAGCGTTTATTGTCAATTTATCGAGAAACGTATAGTTAGGCGGTCAGCGACTCCAGTTGTAGCATATGATTGATAATAAGGATAAATTATTCGTGCACGCTCACTTGAGCATCGCGTGGTCCGTTGCAGCTGCAGATCGGCCCGCACGGAGCGATCCTCCCGCGGCTCAGTCGAAACGAGCGCATACTTACGGCGAGAACATGAAAGGCGCCGCGTCCTTCGTGCTCATCCTGAGCCTGGCGAGCAGCTCATTGGCCCAATATCAGAATCAGTCGCGGCTCGTGGGACCCGAGTCCAGGCGCAGCAATCGCGGCCCCGACTGGAAGAAGGTTTTTTGGCAGACCAGCGAGAAAAGATCCGCTGCTCAACAAGAAGCGGCCGCCGCCACGGCCGTTGCTCAGCACAGGCAACAGCAACAGCAGCAGCGAAACTCATTCAGAGACTCCAGACGTACGTAATAGTAATTAACTTATTTCGTAGAGCGATCGACAAAATTAAAGTGAAAAATTCGACGGGCCCACAGTGCTGTCGCTGTTTACCCTGGTACGCTTCGAGAACAACATTTGCGCGGGGGTGACGGGGGAGAACGGCACCTGCATCTCGCCTTCGGAGTGCGCCCAGCGCGGCGGACTGTCGAGCGGCCTCTGCGCCAGCGGCTACGGCGTCTGTTGCATAGGTATGCCATTGCTTACGACGTACCAGTCGTTAATAATAAATAACGATCCTTGCGCACACTTGGCAGTGAGCGTGAGCTGCGGCCAGACGACCTTCGACAACAACACGTACTTCGTCAACGCCAACTACCCGTCGACCTTCGACGGCACCGACTCGTGCCAACTGACCGTCCTCAAGTCCCACCCGGACGTCTGCCAGTACCGGCTGGATTTCGTCCAGTTCAGCATCAGGGGCCCGGAGACGCTCAACAATCTCTGCACCTACGATCAGTTCATCGTTTCCGGCGGCAGCCCCGTCTCGCCGATTTGCGGCAACAACAACGGAAATCACAGTGAGCCTTACTGACTCGCGTCTCAGCTGTCCTACTTTTCATATCTATTGATTTATTTAACTTTTTTTTTTGTCGTTCAAGTGTATATCGACGTAGGCACCGGACCAACGAATCCAGTGACGCTATCGTTCGTCACGAGCGGCAACGGCTTCGATCGATCCTGGCGCGTCCGCATAGCCCAAATACCCTGCAGCAGCATATTCCGAGCCGAGGAGGGCTGCATGCAGTACTACACGGGCGTTTCCGGCCAGATCAAGTCCTTCAACTACGACCCCAACGTCGGCCTGCAGCTGTCCAATCAGGACTACAGCATCTGCATCAGAATGGAGAGGAACTTTTGCGGGATTCAGTACATGACCTGCGACGACGGCTGTGAGTAGCCCAACTTATACTAATTAATATATCGAGCGGATCGCGAATGAATAATTCGACGCGTCGGAAGCGCAGTATCGGCCTCGCAGACGAACGCGGTGCAAGTCGGTCAGCAGGCGGCGCGCAGCAGCTCGTTCACGCTCTCGGGCAACACCCTCAACGGGCAGTTCGCCGCCCTCTCCTCGGACCGCAACTGCCAGAACGACTGGCTCATGATACCCTGCGCCATGAGCGCCGGCCGCCAGCCCAACGCCCAGATAACTTGCGTCGATCGACTCTGCGGCGGGGCCTTCAATACCGAGAGCAGCGTCAATTCCACCTCCATCATAAGTATGACAAATAATATCTATCTTTAATTGGCCAATTTTCCGACTCGACTCGACTGTGACTCTCGCGCCTTGTCGCCAGGTACTGTCAAGCCGTTCAGGCTCGTCTTCCATACCGATGGCACGGAGGCGCCTAGCGATTTTGGCAATCGAGGCTTCTGCTTGAATTACGTCCAACAACCGTGCACCATGAAATTGCGGTGAAAGCTCGCAGCCCGACTTCTCGATCGACTTCGGTGCTTTTCAGCAAAACATCTACCTACCTCCGCTTGCTCGATATTATTCACATTTACCAAGCTTTCTCCGTGCAATTTTCTCTACGAAAATATCTCGTTCATGGATTACATTGTTTTACACCTTTTCTTTGAATCATTCAGTATCCAATCACTGAATCATTTATGTTATGTACACTTGCTTCCATTTATATCTGCGAAACAGAAAAAATTTAAATGTAGCAAAATAAAGGCTGCCTGAAGCAAGTGTACGCACAACGTTTTAGTGTCAACCACACGCTACCTTACCTGTTCATGGATCTATTATCACTTTCCTTATTTTTCAATTAAAATTAATATGTCAAGCACATACTTTCAAAGATTTTTACCAAATGAACTACACAGTCTTCATTATGCAAGTTCTTATTTTTTATTCTTTCTATAAGATTACAGTGAGCATTATTTTTTTTCTAAAAACAAAGTTCATGTCCATTCAGAATTTTACATACAAATTATTTGTGTTCTATCTATTAAAATTTTTTTCTAGCCAAAAAAGGTTAGAGAAATAAGTCTGTGTTCACTTAATGAAATAGTAACTTTTTTAAAAATAAATATCAAGGAATGATGATATTTTAAAGATTTTTCTGATTAAATTAAATGTAATTTACTTTAGCTTGACAAATTATTTAACAAAAATTATTATTATGCTTATCATATTTGCAAATACATACAATTTAAGGTATCATTAATCTGGTATAATTAAAGTAAAAACATACTAGAATAAGTTATGCATAGAATTCTAATAACCGAATTTAAATATTATGTATATAATTCAAGAAATATTTTACAAGATTGATTTTCATTATACAAAGAAAACAACCATGAAAATTATAAAAATTTGTGACATTTACTACTGTGCAAGCAATTTTAAATATTGAGTTTACTTGAATAATAGTTGTCTCCACCGTCAACTAAATATTTTCATATTTTTCGAATCTCATTCAACATTTTCTCATTTCCTCATTTACACCCAAGATTCTTCTACTTGGCGTTTCTCACGTCGTTCTGCCATGACCTGTCTCATTATCATGTCTTGCGTCATAGGTGACAAATGAGATATAGTTTTAGCAAGCTTAAGAACATCATTTACAGGATCTTCATCTCCATTAAAGCTCACACTTTCGCCATTGTAACTATTTCCCATCCCAGTAGCTCCCATCATGTTATTGTAGTTAGGGCTGTCAGGCCGTGGATTAAATGGGCCCACTTCGCTAACTTGGAAATGTGGCTCATCTTTAATTCTCTGCCTTCTCATGAAAATTTGCTGTGAATCAAACTCTTGTACTCTCCTCAATGATTCCATCTCTCTCATTCGTCTGAACTCCATCTCCTGGAGTTCACGCTGCCTCATAGCTTCCTGCTGTTCATTGCGTCTCATTACCTCCCTTAACACAACGTCACAAGCATCCTCCTCTGGATTATCTTCTTCTTGCTGCCAATTATGATACTCTGCATGCTGATCCAAGTCTGTTTCGTCGACTTCGTCTCGTTGCTGGCCGCTCTCGAGCCAGAGTTTGTGTCTTTGACAACATCGTGGACAGGTCTCGACGTCCTCATCCCTACGACCACAGTTGACGCAAAATCTGGCGACGCAGGGGCGAGGACAGCTGCGCTTGGGATGACCCGGCTGCCAACAATTGTAACAGACCCTCGGTGGTGGATCGATGCGTGGATTAGTGGGAATTGGTTCAAGATTGCCAAACAGAGTACCAATTCGCTTAATTGGTAAAGGCCTCTTCTTCTTGTTGATGATGGGTTTGTTTATACCGTTTCTCCCCCGTCCACCTAGGCGCGACTGTATACCGAAACCACCACCGCCGCCGCCGTAGCCTCTCAAAGGCTTACCTGTTCTCGGATTGACTCGTTGCCCAGCGCGGTTTACGTACTCAACACGCGTCTGGCGACTAATTCCTCCTCGATACATGTTTCTCTCTTTCTCTCTCTTTTACTCTTAATTCGCTCTTGACTGATCTGTAAAATTAGAGACTTGGTAAGCTATGTTAATCCTATGATCCCGAATAATAAAGGTTCAAAGATTGCCGAATTTGACATCTTCCGCAACAACAATGTTGTATTCCTGAGAAAAAAAACAAAAAAAACAAAGCAGAAACAAAAGTCAATACAACGAGCAGTACATAACCTTTCGAACTCAAAGAAGCAAAGAGAATGTGAAGCAGGAAAAAGAAAGTTATCAATTATTGCTAATTTCTGCTGGCTTATTAGAACTGTAACGAGAGAATAATCTTTCGTTCATTACATCCAATAGCCTCGAAATCAATAATTGTAACGTTATGAAACCGGTATATTATCGACTAAAAAATTGCTGAACACGCGTGCTTTTAGTACACAGTTTTTTTTCCTTTTGCACTGTGTGTACTTTGCACTTGTAATTATAGCTCGTGCATATTAAATCCACCCAATACCCGAGATATTCTCGAAACCTAAAACGATCCCAATCAACTCGTTTGACACTTGTTTTGCTCTATAGAGATAATGGATTACGGCGTAAATACGACACACTACAGCCGATGTGAATTTGCTAATAACATTCTGTCGGATCACGATCATTAGCCGCACCTTTCACTAAATCCCGAGAACGACCCTGTCCCACATCTGTTCATACACAATATTTGGATAAATACTCACCTTGCCTAACAATTATCCGGACTAGCAACAATTTTGGGCAATGCCTCGATTAACCCACCACACGGAGTAAGTCACTTTGACGTCTTCCTGCGATTCCTTCCTAAATAATTCCCTCTCTTTCTTTTCGCACGCTCAATAACAAGTGTTACGATGAGGTTAGCCGTCGTCCGTCACTCACACAGCGAACAGCCGCAAAGCCGCTGCTGCCCCCGCAAGCCGCAGCTCATTCTCAAATCTCAAATCATATAGTATATGGTTGGCTGACTTTTAAAGTCGTAATCGCCACTTGCAGCTTGGGATTTGCGAATCGCAGTGCTGATTGACGACAAATAGAGAGTGATCGAAATACGAGTCGTACCATGATGTACGATAAGTATAGGGCAGTGCTTTGCCAACTTTGAAAAATATTGTTCTATAACCTTGAGGCTTGAAGTTAAAGGCGGTTAAAGACGTTTAAATGTAAAGTCCTTCAATGACATTAATTTTCAAAGTTGGTAAAGCAATGTACCGTAAATACTTATTGTACCACGGTACGGCTAATAGTCCAACTGTTCATTCATGAATCATGATATACGCATCCCACGAATATGCTTGTTCATTTTCGGCGCTTAATTACGTAATTGTGAATCGCCTTTGCCGTGCATATGAGTTTTTATTGATATATAATAAGATTATGATTTTTCACTTTAACAAGGCTGAACAAAGTCGAACATACAAGAATCAAGATGGTTAAAAATCGTGACACCGTTTTTCCAATGATTCATTACCAATTTTAAAATTTTTACATGTAATTTTGGACATTAAAAAAAACTTACTAAGTAAATAAATTTATAGGCAAGTTTTTCGGATGTCCGACGCTACTGCTATGAATCAAATGAATCTTTAATGACATTTTAACTCGTATGAATAGAAAACATAACGGCTATCGAAGTTACAGGTTCTATATACTTCTAATGGTTTTTTGTCAGAAATTGAACGCTAGTGTACAACGAGCCATGTGTGCGTGAATGTATATAGCATACAGTATATAGCGTAGCGCACTCTAGCAGACGAAAAAATGTTTCCATCCCATGCGACATAATTGTCTGTGTATAACTTCGAGTATTGTTGCACGATGAAATGCGAAATTACGAAATCATCATTAAATTTACGAAAATCATCGGTGCAAGTTGTTTAGTATCTCCGTGCAGCACAAAATTGGTGCAATTCAAATTCTAAGCAGCAATGTTCATCAGGTGACATATGCCATGAGGACTTTTCGCTGATGCTTCGACTAATTTCCGACACACGTAAAGTATGCACAAGTTCACTCAACTTATTATAATTTTAAATTAAAGTGATACGTTGCTAAAAAGAGTATTTCTTGCAGAAAAATTGTAGCTACGAATCATGCTACTGTTCGGTCGATTTTTACGTGCTGGCACAATTTTGCACACGAGGCCTAGAAATTTAGGTCCTGTTCTGCCCACAAAATGTTATGTACAAATTTTCATTGCACAGTCATCACAGTTATCCAGAAAAAAAATTTTAAACCTCAAACATATCAAGAGATTTTCTAGTAATAATATCAAGACAAAGATAATTTCACCAGCGAAGCAGACTAAATTTGTAAACAAAAAAAGTATCAACGAGTTCAGAAGATTGTTTCTACTTGCAAAACCAGAAAAATGGAGATTATTAGGTGCAATAGTTTTTTTGGTAATATCTTCAACAGTGACAATGGCTGTGCCATTTTGTTTGGGAAAAATTATTGACATAATTTATACAAATGACCACACAAAAACAAAAGAAAATCTCAATAATGTTTGTCTTATATTGTTGGGGGTGTTTATCTTTGGTGGTTTGTGTAATTTTGCCAGAGTGTACTTGATGACGACTACAGGACATAAGATAACTCAAGCATTAAGAAAGAAAGCTTATGGTGCTATTTTAAGCCAAGAAACTGCTATGTTTGATAAAGTTAGCACCGGCGAGCTCGTTGGTAGACTTTCAGGTGCGTATATATTACTATAATTGGTTCAATAGGATTTACCTAATATCTTCAATTGGAAATAATGAAGATTATTGTGGTAAATGATTATGTAAATAATTTTATGTAATAAAATAGTTTTCGTAAATAGTTTTCTGTTAAAAGAAATAAAAACTGTGATTGTAAAAGATTAAAGAAGATTTAGTAAGAATAATATATTAAAAATAATATCATTAAACAATTCTTAATAGTAAAGATTATTTAAAAGATTTATGTCTCAATCGCTACAATTGATTTTAGTTATTCATATGATCCTTAATTATATAAGCAAATTATTTATTCATTATATTTCATTTAATACTTTGATTTGTTCATAAATAATTTCAGGTGATGCACAGTTGGTCAGTTCAGCCATTACAAGTAATATATCTGATGGACTTAGATCAGGAATAATGACCACAGCTGGAATTTCAATGATGTTTTATGTTTCTCCACAATTGGCCCTAGTAGGATTAGCAATAGTACCACCTGTTGCTGGTATGGGTATTTTGTACGGAAGATTTGTTAGAAAAATTTCAAAAGATGTGCAAAATAGTTTGGCAGTTTTAAATACTACAGCAGAGGAAAAAATTAGCAACATCAGAACGGTGAAGGCGTTTGCTCAAGAAAAAAATGAAATTGAAATTTATCGTCGCAAGTTAAAACATTTACTCGACCTATGTTACAAAGAGAGCTTCTACAGGGGCGTGTTTTTTGGAATGACCGGCCTATCTGGAAATGCCATAATTCTTTCGGTACTGTATTACGGCGGAGCAATGCTCTCGGACGCGACGATCTCCGTTGGGAATTTGAGTGCTTTTTTACTTTACGCCGCCTACGTCGGCATTTCGATGGGTGGTTTATCGAGTTTTTATTCAGAACTGAACAAGGCTTTAGGCGCCAGTACAAGGCTTTTTGAATTGATCGACAGACGGCCAAGCATACCCATCGAAGGTGGAAAAGTTATAGATTCAGGATTATCGGGCGAAATTATTTTCGATAAAATTAATTTCACGTACCCAACGAGAAACGACACTATGATTCTCCAGGACTTTACTTTGAGCGTGCCGAAAAATTCGATCACGGCCGTGGTCGGAGCATCTGGCTCGGGAAAATCGACATTGGCCGCGTTGCTGCTGAGACTGTACGACCCGTGCTCGGGATCAGTGCTCTTGGACGGTGAGGATTTGCGATCTTTGGATCCTTACTGGGTCAAAGGACAGATGGGCTTCGTTTCTCAAGAGCCGATACTCTTCAACGGGAGCATTCGAGAAAACATCGTTTACGGCAGCGACGAGGCCTCGGAGGCGGATATTCTGCAAGCCGCGAAGCAAGCCAACGTGCTGGAATTCGTGGAAAAAATGCCAGACGGACTCGATACGTACGTCGGCGAGAGAGGCATCACACTCAGTGGAGGTCAACGTCAGCGAGTTGCCATTGCTCGCGCTCTTATCAAGGTAAAAATTGCACTGATCTATTTTCAAACGCACATTGGCATTGAGCTGATAATCTTTGATGAACTCGTCGATCTTATTTGACGAGCTCTCGACGCGGAAAACGCACAATATTATAAATCACGCGTCATTTTACTCGCAGAATCCGAAGATTCTCATCTTGGACGAGGCGACCAGCGCACTGGACGCCACGTCGGAGAAGCTGGTCCAAGAGGCCCTGGAGCGCGCCACAAAGGGACGGACAACGCTGACGATAGCTCACCGATTGAGCACGATACGGAACGCCGACAAGATCGCCGTCCTGGACGCGGGCAAAATCAGCGAGAGCGGAAGCTACGACGAGCTCATGTGCATCGAGAACGGCCTGTTTCGGAAGCTCGTTCAGCACCAGACGTTCGGTTGAAGGGGGAAACGACAGACACGCGCGTGTGGCCCTTGCGTTATGCATTATGCATCGCTGCTGCTTATCGATCTCGCGACACCTGAAGCACGCGAAGGGAAAAGTCGCGCGCGCGAATATCGAGTTACGAAACCCGAGAACGCTCGTAATCGAGCGGCTTTTAAATCCCAAAGGGCGCACGATGTCGTCGCGAGGCGCGCATTTTGTTTTTGTCCATCTTTCTGACATCCACTGCTCCTTTTTTCACGAATCAAGGAGCGATGGATGACTATTTCGTTTGTTCTTGGTAACTCAGCCAAGTGCAGCGGAAGGAAGAAAAAAGACAAAAATGGATTGCGCGCGAGTGCGCGTGTGTTGCACTGCCCTCTTGGAAGCGCAGTCAGCATTCGAGCTTTGTGCCATACGGACGCGTCGCGTTTCACGCAGCTTTGGTATATGTTCGCTAGGCCAGCACGTGCACTTTTAGTTTGCATTAAGCGACGAGCGGAGTGCATGTGCTCGCCTCTTTGTTTATATTGGCAAGGGTCGGTTTTATAAGGGCTATTGGGTTTTCTGCGGGTCACCTATCGTCGCTATATATTCCAAGTCCATTGTACATGTTATAAAGATATAATAAAACAATTATAGTGTACAGAGTTTTATGAAATATATATAATATATAAAAATACGAAAATTTGAAATAAAGGAGAAAGTAAACCGTTGAAAGAATAAAGTGTCGTTATTTGTTGTAATTGTTGAATTGGAGTTTTATTTCGGCACGTTGAAAATGTTGACATCGAAATGTAAACTCATAGCCCGGGGCTGCGTTGGCATCGTGTCAAAAAGCGCCTCGCCAAAGCCGCGGACGTGCAGCAGCAACGTCAAAGTACTGAAGAGCGTCTACGGCGAGGTCGACGTACCCGAGCAAACCTTGAGCCAGTTCGTGTTCGCCGACGCTCACAAGTGGAGGGACTTGCCTGCATTGGTAATAAACGCTAGACGACAAAAAGCTTCTTGGTCTTTTCTGGGCTTTTCAATATCGCTTTTCATCTCTCTCTCTCTCTCTCTCTCTCTATCTTTCACTCATTCTCTCTATCTCTCTTTCTGATTTTCGAGCATCGGACTTGCGTAACGCGGTGGTGCACCCGATAAAATACGCACGGATCATCGGGAGATGAATTATATAACTTGTTGCTGGTAGCTTCTCGCGCGTTTTCTCAATTGGAGTCGGATTGCGGGAAAAGCAGCGAGCGTCGAGCGCGCGTGCAATCGCAGGCAGTTGTTGCATGGGCCGCGCGCGCGGAAAATCAATATAAGCTCGTCGCGTCTGCTCGCGAGCGCGCACACGACGACTCGGCTGCTGCTGCCGACTGCACAAGAGGGTGCGGGATCGCGTGGTGTCATCCACCTCTGCGGCGGGCTCCGGGACGCATATACGCGCATCCAAGCCGCTATAGAGCACTGCCCTTTTTTTTCTACGGCCACGAGCTGTGATGCTACTCGCCAGCGGCAGCAGCAAGTGCACACGAGCACGAGCTGAGCCGCGCGCGCGCGCCGACCGAGCTCGAATTTTCAATCGCGACTGCATCCACTGTAAGCTCTATAGGCGTAAGCGCGGCTGTTTACTCGACGCGCCTTAAGTGGAAGAATGCAAATTCATCGAGGATGATTGGAGCGTTAGATGTAGAACTGCGATGATCAAAAGGTCATCGTCGGATCGCTAATGAATTGTCTCGATACGGAGCTATATGGCATTGCTCGCGAGACGCGGCGCAACTCGGCGTCGCGGCTAATTGCGTCATTGGCCTCGAAACGATCGATCGCGATTCGCGCCGAAAGCGGCTGAGACATGCGTGCGAAATTCCCTCACGGAGTCGTCGAACTCGTCCTCGCAAAGAACGGTGCGCAACGCTCCAATTCCATTGGAATCGATGCAATAAGGCTATAACACGACCATTATCGTCGAATAGATAAAGGAATTTTAATTAATTGCGCTCGCGTCGACAGACATGCGGAGTGAGCGGGCGAAGCTACACCTACGGCATGATCCAGCAGCTGTGCCAGCGGGGCGCCCAGGCCCTGCTGGCCAATACCGATCTGAAGCCGGGCGACCGGATCGGTCTGCTGCTGCCCAACGTGCCCGAGTTCACGCTGGCGGTGCACGCGAGCCTGCAGGCCGGCCTCGTGGTCACCTACGCCAATCCGCTCTTCACCGTGCACGAGCTGACGCGCCAGTTCACCAGCGCCAAGGTCAGGTGCATCGTCACGGTGCCGCAGCTGCTCGAGCTCGCCCAAGCCGTGGCCAAGTCCCTGCCGGCCTACGACTGCACCATCAACATCGGCGGCGAGCCGAGTCCGCAAAACAAGTTCGTATATATCTGTCGCATTGCCATTTTATTATACAGCTAATTTCTATTACTCCGTCGCGAAACTTAACATGAGATACGCTCTAATACAACTCCATTGCTGTAACTTATTTATTGTCCCGCCCCCCTGATCGAGCTTGCTCAAAAACACGCACTTGAACACTGTATAACTAAACGAGTGTTGGAATTAACGATCATGATGTGCGCATTTTATTGCGGCTCGATCGATACCGATCGGTAAAAACCGACTCCCGGTCTGTTCTACTCGAGTTCGATGAGCATGTGATCGCGGCCAAAGTCGAATTCGATCCACGCTAAAAATAATCATCTCGTTCGATGTCGTGCACAGAATCCTCGGCTTGGAGTCTCTCACGAGCACGGAGAAAAAAGTCGATTTGCCGGAGGTGCGCTCGAGCGACATCGCCGTGCTGCCCTACAGCTCCGGCACTACGGGCGTGCCCAAGGGCGTGATGCTGAGCCACCGGAACCTCGTGGTCAACATCATGCAGCTGCTGCACCCCCAGCTCGTCGAGGAGACCGATCCGCTCACCTTCCAGGACGTCTCGCTCACGGTCCTCCCTTTTTTCCACATCTACGGCTTCAACGCGATCCTCAACTATCTGGCCAAGATCGGCAGCCACCTCGTCTCCATGCCCAAGTTCACGCCCCAGGACTACATCAAGTGCCTGCTCGAGTACCAACCGACGGTTCTCTTCGTCGTGCCGTCCCTCCTGCTCTTTCTGATCACGCATCCCGAGGTGACGCCTCGCCACTTGGCCAGCGTCAACAAGATATTCTGCGGCGCCGCGCCCCTCAAGAAGGGTCTCATCGATCATTTCTACGAGAAAATCGGCAGGACCGATTGCACCATTACCCAAGGTACGTCGCGCACAGATTTCATTTTTAGCTTCGAGCAGCTTCGTCATGCCTAGGGCCTATGCACGCAGGTTACGGAATGACCGAGACCAGCCCAGGAATCACGATAACTCCCTACAACATGCCGTACAGCAAAAGCGGAAGTTGCGGACGCCTCTTACCGTCCACTCTGGCTCGAGTGATCGACCTGAGCGACGGCCACGTCGTCGGCGTGCCCAATCGTCCGGGTGAGCTGCTCGTCAAGGGCCCCCAAGTCATGCAGGGCTACCTCGACAATCCGGGTGCCACGAGCGACGTCATCGACACCCATGGCTGGTTTCACACGGGCGACGTCGTTTACTACGACGAGGAGGAGTACTTTTACATTATCGATAGGACCAAAGAGCTCATAAAGGTCAAGGGTAATCAGGTAAGAAACTCACTCTCAACGTTATATTTACTCATTTCATGTGTATTTTTTCATTTCAATCGTTCCATCGTTGTTTTTACTATAAAATTATTATACACACGCATTATCGTTTACCAATACATTTTAATTTCTTACCAACTACTTTTTTTGTATCAAGTCTCATTTTTTTCTAAATAATAATTTCCCGTCATTTTTTTCTGTGAAAAAAAAAAAAATTAAAATACTGTACTAATTGTTCTAAAAAAGCTATGTCGAGCTGTCAATTGTTGGTTCTCCTTCTTCTACATTTAACATTTTACTTCTTACCTAAACTAAATTTAACGCGCGTTTGTTTTTTTCTCATAGAAAGAGGATTAATTTATCACTGCACTACACAATGATATAATTTACTACAAAATAAAGAAAAACTGATGCAAGGTCGTAGCCTTGCATCATCAGTCAAATTCAACACTATTGACCGATCGGATTTATTATTTTAATGTTTTTATTAAAATATATTATTTCATAACACCCATTTTTATACAATATATAAAAATCGTATCAATGTATATATTGCCAATGTGCTAAACGACTCTGTTGTTGATTACAAAAACTAGTCATCATTGCAAACATATTCAACGTTGGCTTATCAGAACAGCATTTTTTTTCAACTTTACATTCAGTGTCTATTAATAAGTCGGGCAGTGATTTGCTGCTACAACGTATTTGTCAGCGGCGTATAATGTAGAATAGGAAGATTAATTAAATAGTCAACACAAAAAAGTTCTGACTCCTGCAACACTTTAGAATTGTTGCAGGTCTCACTTACAACGATGACAATACAAAGAAAAAAATTAGTTTCTCAAGCAAATTAATTAAGTTTGCTTTGTCGGAAAAACAATGCACATTTCATTTTCTCTTTTTCACTTTCGTTCATTCCGCTGTACACTAATCAGGGCTGTATAAACCATGCAAAGTCATAGAAAGAGTTTTTAGTTCTCTAATTGATAAGTAACTTTTAATTATAAGTTCAAGCCGCATTATTACTTTGTTTTTATATTTTGAAAATAATATATTTAGAGTCCATTTTTAATGATTAGAATAAACAAAAAGTCGATTTTCAAACTAAGATTTTGCACAGTGATCCCTGATAAATACAATTAAACACACATTCAATTTTCATTTATATTAAGAAAATCATTCAAGTAAATTCATTGTCCAGGACTTGAGAATCAATATTAACTACTCATTGATTCAATCCCTTGTTCTTGATCCATAGGTTCATCCCCCGTTGCAGTAGCAAGAGTAGCTCCATCATCCACATCCATAGACTCTGAGGGATTTTTTGTGCTAACAGGTTCATCTGTTACAATCATTTCATTGCTCTCCAATAAATTAGTAACTGGAGATTCTGATAAGCCATTATTAACAGCAGAGTCTACATCTGCAGGTTTACTAATAGCTTCTGTAAGATCTTTACTTATAGTGTCAGCTACTTCTTTTGGCTCTTCTATAACAGGAGTTGCATCAGATTCTATTGAGCTTGTGGTTTCACTGTTTTCTATAAGAGCTTCTTCTACTTTCAATTCAGAATTTACAGCTTCTATAGAAGGACTAGGTTTATTTGAATCTGGAATAAGATCTTCAATTAACAATTTTACTTTGTCTTCTTCTACAGCTGGTTCGGATGTTTCTTTCTCATTTGAAGGCTCAGCACTGGAATTTTCACTTAAAACTGGTTCAGTTGTAACTTGCTCTTTTACAGATTCAGTTAAACTTTCTTTACATACAACAGAACTTGATTCTTCTGTTTCAATTATTGGCTTAGCTGAATTGTCAACATCTGATGAGGTATCTGTACTGGCAATGATATCATCTTGCTTACTAATGTCAGAACTATTTGCTGAATTTTCTTCAGATGTGGTTTGATCTTTGTTGCTGGTATCCAGTGTGCTTGTTAGATTTTGTTCAGCTTCATCATTGTTTTCAGGAGTCTGAGAAACTTCAGTATTATTTTGTGCATTATCATGTGTATTATTATTAATGGCAGTTTCATTGGAGTAATTCAGTTCAATTGGTAAATTACACACTTCGCTTTGTTCTTCATTTTTATCTGATTTTCCACTTTGAAGTGCTTCTGCATAAGTTTTGACATGATTTTCTTCCAATAAAGAGTCGAAATCTTTTGCCTCAAAAGCAGTCTGAAGTTTTTTGGAATCATTACTGTTAGAATCTTCACTTTCTAGTTCTAAACTTGGCTGGGAACTTGTGTCTTCGTTCATAATGGCATCTGATACATCAATACTTTCTTGGTTATTACCAGAGAGAGTTGGAGCAATAACAGCATTAAGCGGTGTTTGTGTGTTGATGACTGCATTTGTTTGAAAATCTAAACTAGCAGATCCTGATGCCAATGGATTTATGCTACTCACTTGTTGTTCCATTTTTTCGAGTTGTTTATTAGTCGAATTCATACCATTCTCTACTGATAAATCGTTACTGTCAGGTGTTTGTAAAGGAACAGAAGTAGTACAGTCCTTTACCCAATTGTCCATGTCTACTTCATTAGAGGTTTGTCCGTGATGCAGAGATTCATCTTCCAATGATCCATTTACCAAACTATCACCATTTTCACTTCTTCGACCCAATGGTCCGGGTTCTCTCGTACTAACTACCAAAATATTTTTTTCAATGGCTCTCATAAATTTATCGATACGATTATACTCTTTTCTTGGAGTGGTCAATAATTCACATATTCTTTGAACAGTAAAAGGTGCATTGGAGAAACTTTCTAGTCTCTCTATTAGTGTTCTTTTCATAATATCATAATTAAATTGTTCAACATTAGGGCAAGGTGCAAGATCAAGAGTGGGGCAGTTTTCTTGAAATTCGCTCATTACTTTGACAAGTTTTTCTCTGAATAAGGCTTTGACAAGACTCCATTGATATACAGGATCTCCGGTGCGAGCAACCCAACAGAGGTAATCCTCAAGTTCGCGAGGAATCTCTGAAGGCCGCACTTTTTGAAATTCATCCAGAGCATGAAGCACTTCTTCTGGGTTTTCCATGGCAAATGGTGAAATAGATGCTTAACGTTGTATTTGACACGCCAATTTTTCCCTCAGCGAACAGAGCTATCGAAAAAAAAATTGTGTTATGGTCACGAGGTTTTGTTGTCAATAATCGAAGGGGACATCGTAAAACTAAATTAGAGATGTGTACCAATGTACACACACTTAAGAAGGGTTAACGAAATAGAGGTAATTTAGACTCACGATCTGAGCTGCTGCAGGAGTAACCGTTGTAAACGATGTTGCTGAAAGTCGTCGTGATCGTTGTTACTGCTTCGGCATCGACGGCACCCAAGTGCGTCCGGAGACTTTCGAATTGATATATTTATTTATTGTCGTTAGACACTGCACGTATACGGCAAAGGCAGGCAAAAAAGAGGAGAGGGGAAAATGGTAGGGATTGGGAATCGCGCGTGTGTATTATATGTGCGTGTATTCTATGCCTGTATAGATAGACTAGAGAACGACGAAAAAATTTCTCGATCTCAAATAATCAGCACTCTCGCGACACGCGTATGTTGAACTCTGCAGCAGATTCAGTCATGAATTGATGTATTGCTTGGGCTACTTTCTTTCCTCCGTATCGCGATTACGCGTAATGTATCTGCTGCAGCCGCGCGACATGCAAGATTCACACTCGAGTGAGAGCGAGAGAGCGAAATGCGTGCACTAACACACGACTTGGCAGTTGGCAGCAGCATCGGGATTCAGGTAGCCTGGTAGGGACAGGGGGTAACTGTAACAGTACGCGGGTTCTTCGACAGTCCGCAACGCTCCAAATCGCATAGTGCAGCAGCGCTACTTGCGAGGTTATGTCTTAACATAATAAACAGTGCTGCTGTCAGGCACGCAAGCAGCTAAAATTGGCGCTGATAAACAGCAAGCGCCACTGGTCAATGCTGAAATGCGCGAAAATTTAAAGTTTAGAGTTTATTAGCCAAGCCATTAGCCAATGAGGGAATGAATAAATTGCAAAATGATTGATTTTTTTCTGCCCGATACAAACAATTTACTTGTATTTGTATGCAGGTCTCACCGACCGAGTTGGAATCTTTGCTCTTGGAAATACCCGGAGTGGCCGACGCTGCGGTTGTCGGCATTCCGGACTCGTTTGCTGGTGAACTGCCCAAGGCTTTCATTGTGCGCAAGCCTGGATTCGACGATATGACCGTTGATTCCGTCCAGGACTTCGTTACACCGAAGGTAATTTATATCCATGGATGATGATCAAACAATTTTCTTACCTAAACTCTACCATGCAGGTTGCGACTTACAAGAAATTAGCTGGGGGAGTCGAGTTTGTTGAAGCCATTCCAAGGAATCCTTCGGGCAAGATTTTACGCAACGAATTGAAAAACTTGTGCTCGCAAAATTAAAAATGGAAAGATTGACGAACTACAAGATTCAAATCGAATGGGCTGTAAGAATGCATTTTCTAAACTTGCATCAAGACAACTGACGAAAAAAAAATTCAAACCTTTTTCAAACTATACCGTCAACTTTAACGTAACAATTATATTGCAACGACAATAAATTACACGAAAGCAATATTAATATTGACATAAACGACTTGGAATATTGAATTGACAGTTCAATCGGATATTTTCATCGTGTAATTTGAAAATTAATCTATAACATAAAAGTTGAAAGCATAATTCAAAATTTTTAAATTCGTGTTTCAAATCAATATTATACATATTTCACCTTCATTTGGTCCGACAGTGCATACGTTTTTAATGCACGGACATGATCGTATAGTGTGGTGATTAAAAAAAATTTATGTTGATGTCACCTCAAAGTTGTTCAAAACATATGTTAGTAAAGTTGTTGTAGAATTAAATATAATATAACCACTCCATGTTAACGATCATCAAGGATCGTAAAAATAACGATAACTGTCACCTTATATTTTCCTTTTTTAATTACTCTTTATTTTTATATGATATAGAGATTCAGGTTTTTTTGCTTTTTTGCAAGACTTGTTCGATTTGACATACAATTATTTTTCAAGTGAGACCACGGTTTAACATGTACATATTATATAAGAAACAGTTACAACTTTATAGAATAAGACTTTTTTCGTATGAATAATATATTTGCATTTCAATCATTGAATGCATTATTTTTATAATATTTATTAAATTACCACCTTGATTCTTTGAGATTTTCTTGTAATTTTCAGTGTAATAGTTAGTAATAATTAATGTATTATCTCTTTGAAATAATTATCGCAATCACACTTGATTTTAATATTTGTAATATTATATTATGTAGAAGAGATCGCATGTGCACGTGCACCCCTAACAAACAGGCGCGAAAGATGACGTATATATGTAGTTTTTGTTTTTATTATTTTTCTTTTATCAACAAAGGGGGTCCCACTCATATAAATTTGTTTGTTTTGCATCAGTCTTTTACACGATTTACAATATGGTAAGACGTAATAAAGTTTTATCCCCTGAACACTGTGTATTTTTGTGTTTATAGCACGATTCACTTTCCACGCCTTTTCTTCATTAAATGTGGATTCACGCTCTTTTCTATTTTATAGATTCATATCGTAAAAGCTCAAATATAGTTATGTTTTTAGTGGAAAATTCTTCACGAAAAGTAAGGCAAAAACTTTCTGATATTCGTACCCACAACATAGCCATATAATCATTCAATATATGAACACTTTAACGGTTAATAAAAATGTAATTATCCGCACACATTCACTATTTAGCAACTGTACAGATAGACACACATACATACACACACACACTGACACTTTCCCAGTTCAATTTTGGCGAGTGCATACAGATGACAATAATAAAACTTATTGAGGGAACTTACACATTTTTTCTTACGTCTTTTGAGCAACATGTTCACAAGAATATATAAAGGTTCAGCATTCATTTACATCTGGTTTTTCATTCGTTCTAGCGAGCTTTATAATGAAAAATTGTTGAAAAGTATGAAGATGGATATTTTTTTGAGCATAAAATTGAGAGGTGATTATTGCGCATTGTAATAACTAAACAATCCAAAAATCCTAGCGATTATTAAGAACGTGATTCATTACGGTTCAACTTATATTATAAAATATCTTTATTTATTTTTATACAAATGCTATGCTTTGTGGGTTTGAAAGGAAAACTAATTTACAATAAAGATGAAAAATTTATCAAAGTGAAAATTTTTTTCAAATATATTCAAAACTCAACAAATTTGAATAAAAAAAATTAATTACCAAGCTTGCCAAAGTATAATAAATGCAAACCAGATTATTATCGTAGATAGTATTAATTATTCGATCATCATACAAATTTTATGAATAACGCAATATTCTTTCAAGATCCCTTGCTTCTGCAAATTACATAGTCATGTTATATTTTTCGATCTTAAAATTGTTTAGACGATAAAAACTTAAACTACTTATTCTGACGAAAAATTGATTAGCCAAGCAATTATGTACTTGCACAAGGCGACAGAAAAATATACGTTAAAAAATTGCTGCGTCCTTTAAAATTATATCTCTCACAGAATAGTTTTTAAGATCATTCAATTGATCATTGAAAATTTTTCTTTACATTTCATATGCAACCTTACTTTCAATTAAATGTTTGTTATGTTTTTAAATGTTTCCAATTTTTTCTAAACTTATAGATCACTTTTTATGGCTAAAATTGTATCCATATCCAACCAATTTTTTTATTGCAACTGTACTAATATGAATAGTCTATTAAAAATTTCAAAATGTTTTTACTACATTTTTCGTAATATAAGTCAATTATACGACTTTTTTTACTTATTAAGGTAGAAAAGAAATGTTCTGGAAAACTACAATACACTCTACAATCTAATGCTGAATTATTGGTGATATTTTTCTGATGTAGTTTATGATTTGGAAAATTGGTAAAAATTAAAATAAAATTAGCGGGATGTTATGTTTAGTTTTTAATAGTAAAAATAAAGTAATTTATATTTTGGGAACAGGTTTTCAAGCATTTGAAAAATAATGAATACCCTATAACGCATATACCTACAAAAGAAATTAAAGTGAAAACTTTTGCGCAGGTAATGAAAAATTGAATTACGCACGAAAACGTAGAACAAAACTCTGACACAGTGACTGTTTTAAGCAGAGAGTGCATAAGTTACTTCGTAGTAATAGTAATTATTTTTCACCTTTATTTCGCAAGAGTGCTTAGCTTATAAAGGGACAAGAAGAGTAATTAGTATCAGCATACACATACAAATGATTAACGCTAAATAAGTTTAAAATTGCAGCAATGGTATTATCATTTTTCATACAATTTAAGTAGTCGTAATATATAATGTATAATTTTCATAAAAATTCATTCATAATTATTTAAGAAAGATGACATTTATCTTCATTATTATTGTATTTTAGTATATATTTAACTCTTCTCATCAAATTATTTGAATAGATCCGCTGTATACTTATGAATACAAAATTAAAATTGGGAATAATCATAAAATTTTAAATGAAATATAAACAAGAAAGAAGTTAATGGAAGTCTTATTCTTACAGTATCGGGTACCTGACTCTTGTTCAAAATATTTTTCTCTACATACTTAAAGTAGATTAATAATAGGAGATTTCATTTCAAATGTTGCACTTTAATTACCTTAGCCATTGCAAGTACAAAATTAAGGCAGTTGGCAAGAAGAAGATATGCATATTAAAGGCAAGTGCATTTCATTTTAATAGACTAGGTATTTGATGAAAACATGACACCTGAGAAGAATAGATAGAAAGATCCATGCATTGCAAATAGGTACCCAAAAGTAAAAGATTAGGTAGATGATAATTTTATGATTATACCCAATGAAGTTGTTATCGAGCTTAATTAGAAATACTTAAAATTTTTACATGCTTCAAGTAGCTTACATTAATTAAACATCAACTACCATCTTCTTATGAATATCTGTATTTCCGACAACCTATAAAATAAATTATTAATTATAAATGTGAAAAGTTTATATTTACAAATTAACTTACAGAGCAGAACTCTTCAAAACTAATTTTTCCATCTTCGTCCTTGTCAGCAAAAAGTATTGTTTTGTCAACTATTTGTTGAAGTTGAGTGTCCTTCAAATTATTACCAACCATCATTTTCAAAACTTGAAATAGCTCACCATTGCTAATGAAACCATCATTATCCATATCGTAAATTCTGAACGCAAATCTCAGTTTACTCTCTTTATCACCCTGTGAAAAAAAATTGAACTCATTATAATTTAAATCATCAATCTTTGAATCTCCATCAATTAGGGTCTTATTCTTAGTTTTACCTTTACACTAAATTGGGATACACCTTGAATGAATTCCTTAAAGTCTACCTCTCCATTGCCATCTGCATCGAAGATATCTATGACCCGTTGTACAAGTGGATTTTGTTGTAACTCTGGTAGTGACATGAATTCATCAATGCTAAGAGCTCCACTGTTGTCAAGATCCAATTTTCTAAATCTCTTGCCCAATCTTCTAATTTCATCTGCATCAACTATAGTAAAAAATAATTGCCATTTCAACAAAATTTTCATCAGTGCAGAAAGTAAAGAGCAGAAACCTTGTCACATAAAGCTACATTATTCTCATTAATGTATTGAATATTTTGGCTACATGAAAATCAATACATATTACCACTCATGAATACACATGAGTGTCATATAGCCTTGTCATATCAAAATAAATAATCATTAAAAAGTCGCAAATTTGAAAAGGCTAAAATTCGGGTTGTAAAAAAAAACTATTGTTGAGCGGAAGAAGAAAAGGCAATTTTTTGCGATAAAAAGGAAATGTTTGAACGCAGCTGCAATAATCAAGGTTACATGCTCTTTTCCGAATGTCTTTGCGACAATATGTGTAGATCGCTTTAACTTACAATTGGAGCATAATTCCATAGGCAGCGAGCTTTCGTTACCCTGAAAAACATGGCATAAATAAGAATCGTCATTCTCGTAGTAGCGCATAAAAATATATGTTTGTGAATTTAATCATGCATACATATATTTATATATACATTGGGAATTTAATAATAATAAGCTCTGCAGTGAAAAAGAGAGAGAAAAAGCACAGAAAGCGAGTGTGTATACATACACAACACGCGCGATCGATTATATCCTCTCGCTCCCTCCCTCTGTCTCTCTTTCTTTCTTTCTCTCTCTCTCTCTCTCTCTCTCTCCCTCTCTCTCTTTCTCGCGTAAAGAGAAAATGTATAATGTATACGAGAGCGTATACATATATAGTACGTATGTACATAAAAAAAAAATATATATACATATAAACACACGCATACACATCAAGACATAGAGTAGTAATACACAACTCACCATTATGTGTCTTGTGTGTGGTTCAAAAACGTAGTATAATAATCCTAGGACGGACAATTAATTCCGTAGACAAAAAGCGAATTTTTGAAAGCTGCTCACACCCACGGCACACAGGGGCGTACTAGTGTAGTTGTTTTTTTTAAAGCTTCGAAGCAAGAGAGATGGAAACGGTATATGCGCGACTTGAGAAAAAATTGCAAATTGATCACGCTGCTGTTCCGTTCTGCTCACTACTGACTGTACTGCTACTGCCTGGCTGCTGCTGGCTGCTCTGCTGCTTTGACTCGTCTCGTCTGTAAACTTGGCGCAGGTGTATATACGTGAATTCGCGCGCGCTCCTCGTGTCCCCCACGATCGTTGCGGAAAACTGTGCCTCGAAAGCCGCGGATATTTATGATCTAATGCTCGTTTGAACTTTCAGCACACGCAGCCAGCTCGTAAAGCCATTGTTGAAAATCCGATAATGTGACCACTTTAACTCTCGATTCTTGTTTAGCCTGCGTGCGATTTTGAATGCGGATCGCGCCAAAGCTCGTCGTTCAGCGAGCTTTTTGCAAGCGCTGCGCAGCAGCCGAGCTGCAGCTTCTCGGTTAAGAATAGCTCTTTGCGACGACACCTTCTTTGATGGTGATTAAATGATTTCGAAATGTAAACGACTAAAGGATGCACGTGATTACTTTTCAAAGTCAACTTTTATTTCTCTTTTATATCGTCTATAAAAACAAGTTCTACCTTTTACAAATGTACGAAATATTTCTCTGCACTTGTAAAATTTTTATAACAACATTTTTACATTATTATGTGTAATGAATAGTGTTCAAGGTCAATTTTATGACTAACTTAGGTTTTTACAAAAAATATAACTGGATATTTTTTTATTTACACAATTACATGGAAAGCAATAACGCACTATTCATTCAACATTAACCAACGTTTAACATAAATTTACCAAGTTTAGTAAATTACAACATGCAATAAAAATACATGCAAAATTCTGCATGTTTTGAATAACCTTACTAATTACATTATAAGTTTTTTAAACAACAAATATTTTACATAATTACAGTTTTTTGTTATAAACATAGATCACAGATTCAACAATTACACTAATATTCGAAGATAAAATTTGTATACAGATATCTTGACAAAAGTTGATAGTTTAGCACTCTGTCATTCTATTTTGATTTTTCAATTTTTCAATATTACATGCAGCCAAGAATAGAATCTCATGAATCAAGCCATTAATTTGGTCATTTTTTAATTTTAAAACTATCTCAACACTTCAGTAAGACTAATAGTTGTTTTACTGGTTATCTCTGAAACTATTTATGCAGAGATCATCAAGTTCTTCTTGTTGACTTAATTCTAAATTATTTTCATTTGACAAATGAAGTAAAGATACAAACGCTAAAGCAGGACTTAAAATTTTCGCGTTAATTTTACTCAAATTTTGTGGCAATTTTTGATACATCTCACTAAATGTGGTTTGTATTTCTTCATTTGTGTTCTCTCCGCTTGGAATGAGTGTTTTCCAAGCTGCCTCTTTCAATTTTCGCATGTTTACTTTTTTTGCAATTCGAGAATATGGTACAAAAACATTTTTTGGTGTGGTTGGAGCTGAGATTAAATTTGGACCTGTGAATGATTCATGATTTATTGGAGTTGAAGTACGAATTCTATCACCATCTTCATCTAGCTGATCTGTATCATTGAACTCATCTTCAAGTTGGAAAGAGGTGGTAAGAGCTTCAAAATCATCTGTATCTCTTTGTCTACCGATGCCAGAATCAGAAAAATGTCGTCGAAGATTATGGTTTGCTTCTTCACTTCTTATTTTTTCTAATGTATTTTCATCCCATTCTCTTTTATCAAGGGGTAATGATAACCTTTTCAAGAGTACAACCGGTTTATTATGAAAATTATGAAAATGTTCCCACTCAATTTTAACCAAGTTAGAGTTGTGATCAGACTGTTTAGAGACAATGGGTGCTGTAACAATAAGTGCAAATGCAATGATACAAAATTAAAAAATGTTCATGTTTCAAAATGCAAAAAAATCATACCTTTTGTCTTAACTTTACGCTTTTTGTTGAAAACTAATCTCCAATGTCTACTTCCATTCCATTTTTTGTAATGTTCAGGCTGAAGATATGAATATTCATATTCTTTATCCGGGTTAGATTGGTTTTCAATAACATCTTGAAAGTCTACGATTTCTGTATTTTGTAATGTATCTTGAAATAATTCATTGTCATTGAATGATCCATCCCGGCACATGGAATCATCAACAAATCCTTCATCAAGAGGAGATTGAAGATTAAAATGGTAATCAACACTACTTTCGGTATTTGTACTCTCAATTTCTGGGCATTCATGCCAATGGAGAAATTGAAAATTTGAATACGATGGGCACAGTTCCTTATTAGAAAAATTATCCAGTTTATTTATTTTCATAGTCTCATAATTTTCATAATTTCTGATAACTTTGTCAAGAAGAACATCATTGAATAAATTTAAACTCATTTGAGAATTAGCATGAAATGGGAAAGCTGATTGATATAGTTTATCAGAAGTCTGTGGGTCCGTATTACAATAAACTAATGAGAGTGGATTATATGTCTCCAAGCAACCCTTCAATGCCTGACTCGAGGATAATATATTAGGTTTATTTTTTTTCTTTTTTCGTTTAGGACGGTCTTCATCGTATTCATTATATTCATCTTCAATTGCTCTTTTGGTACCTCTACCAGCTTGAACAACTTTAAGTAAATCAGAGTGAACTTTATCCACTCGATATGCATAAATTTTTCCACTGACGTCCAAGCATGCACTTGCCATTTGCAAATTCATGTTGTGAGGTTCTTGTTTTCGAAGAACAAATGCGAACAAATCAATTAGCTGTAGTCCAAATGCATTTTTATCAGTAATTTTGTTTTCAGCATTAAGTTTTAAACAACTTGATATTTGGTTGCTTATTTCATACTGAGATAGACCAGAAAATTTGATAGATAAGCTGATGTTACTTTTTTGAGATACATCTGATTCATATTCTTTAAAATTTTCATTTTCACTCTCATTCTCACTGAGACTATTTCCACTAACACTATTCCCACCAATTGATAACAGAGTCATGTTTGAATTTTCAAGTACAAGCCAACTAAAAAATTAGATAAAAATTAGATATGTTTTAGATAAAGGAACAATTAATAACTTTTTATGCCCACAAAAATAATGTTACTTTTCAAGAGTCACCAATAGCAGCAACGATCGTGATGCCGTCGATTGAAAATTTTGAGCTGAAGAAATCGAGAAGCGAAGTTTTTAGTCCCACCAATATTCATATTCACCTGAAAGTAAACGAAACATTTATTTCATTGCATAATCATAGATAGATATTTATCTAATGCAATATTCAGGTATTATCAGTGTTGATACGTACTCGTGCTTCTCTAACAGATAAACGTAATCAGCCGAAATTGATAAAGAAGGAGAATGTTTGTTTTGAGCCTTTGTTGACACTGCGAGCGGCGCGGCGATTACAGCCGAAGAATAATATGAGTCTTAGGACGATCGACGAAGCCTCGAACTGAGGTCCGGCTCGTAAAAGTCACTCGCGCTTATTATCGTTCCATTGTGTACATCGGACGCTTTACCTGTATACCTGCAAGCGATGCATGACACTATACACATGCACTTATTGTATGCAGTCGCACACACGCACACTCTACTCCGTCACTGTTCTGCAATGGCCAGCGTTGCAATAATCCCATAGATTGTCGAACAAAGAGGCGCGAAGATAGCGTCGACGCTGGACACACTATTCGGTTTATCCATGGCTTTGCTTAAAGATATTTTTGTAACTTATGATTCAAGTGGACGCGAGTACACGGGAAGCTTTTTTGCAAGCGGCCTCGCTGAGTGACGCCACCGCGGCCGGTCATCGGCAGATCAATGGCGGGCGCGCCCCGCGTGCTTCTTGATAGCGTCGAGCGCAGTCTTCGCTGCGAGCTGTTGTTGTGGGCTATATTTGCGAATTGCAGTGCAGACCGAATATGCTGAATCGTGATTACAATAGTATAGATATACAAAATACACTTAGAAAAATGGCGCTAATCTAACGGATAATCGGGAACTACACGTACGTTGTATATCTATGTATTGTAAAAGCGATTCCCTAATACCTGTATCTATATACTACACTCTACTGCTATGCAGAAATTAGCAGCTTTGTTTATGCTACGTTCTTCAAGTCATAGAGTTCGTTCGTAAAAATCTCTTCTTATCGCAGTCAACCTTACCTAATCCCACGCTCTGAGGAATTTCATGAACAATCGATGTCATGTTGGTACTCTCTTACACTTCTATTGCGACTTCAAAAAGCAGAAAAATAAGCACTTAATCGCGATAACTGTGAAAATCAAACTATTGTGCAAAGTGCTGGGGGATTTCAAAGAGATTCTTTTTTCAATGAGAAATTAAATTATTCAAATTTTGAATTTTCCAGAAGCAAATGATGCTCAGATGCATGCTATAGAGTTTGCATGAGATATTTCATGGAAAGTCATACAAATGTGAAAACGTTTCCATCGCTCTTGAAATATGCAATAAAATCGAATGGAATAAGGTTTAAAACAATTGCCAAACGAATATCGAACGAATGACACATATAGTGACTGAACATTCAATTAAAAGCTTCCGTCATTGCTGACCGACGCGATCTCAAAAAGAGCCCTTATTTGGACGGACCGGTTTATATACATTGAAACAAATAACTTGTTTTAAATCAATAATTTTAAGTCGTGAACTTTAACAAAGTATCCCTGTCTTGCTTTTTTTATCTTCGAGTGAGTACAGAATTCTAATAAAAAATGTCAACCTCGGGGTTTTTGAAAAAATGAACTTAAAATATTATCCTGTAATCAGAAGTATTGTTTACAAATTATTTTAAATAATTACCTAAATTATATATATATTTGTAACTTTTTAATTAATTCTTTTGTAAATAACCGACGAATAATATAGCTGATTTATTCCGTAACTTAATGATCGGCAAATCAAACATTTGAATCAATTAAGGTGACTTAACTGTATTTTGTAGAATTGTTAATTTCGAACCGATTTTTAACCAAGCCTTCGTTCAAGTTGGAAAATGTCAAAGTTCACGATAAATTCGATGCCTATAATTTACAAATTTATTTTGATACACGTTTTAAAAAATTGTGTTCCTAGAATGAATAATAGCGATCTGTATTTTGAGAGATAAAAGTTCATTTGAAAAATCATTTTCTCTCCAACGAAGAGTAAATTTTGTCCTAAATTATTATTATCTTTTTTTAATTAAATTGATTAAAGTTGCTATTGACAAAAATCAAAGTAACTTTGATCAAAAATTCCCCCTGGATTAATTGGCTTTATTCTTGTTCAAAATTGTTGTTTTTTGGAACTTTTTGAAATAAATGATTTTTGTAAATTTTATTGGATATCATTGATAAATATTTCATGGGTAGTTGATATGACTTTACGGAGCCAAGACTTTTACGCGGCGCTCGCATCGAGTTCCCAGCATGCAAATAAATTAATCGACGCGAAGAAGTAGGAGATAGCGCACTTGTGGCCTCTGATGCATTTCGGAAACCCACGAGCAGTCGCCGCTTACTCCGTGTAGAGTTCTGTTTGTGTTCTAGGTTAGAAATATTTTAATTTTTACTTTTTGTATTGTTAATATGTCAGAACATACGTAAAAATCATATTAAAAAAGGGCTCAGACGTATTATTATTGGCTCAACTGTGTGTCATAGACTTGTTCCATACAATAATTCTTAAATATTAATACGATTCGAATCGTATGTCATACACTAGCATTGGTTTTCAAAAAAATCAGTATTTAATTGTGAAATAGTGAATGAATCCACTATGTGAAAAAATTTTTGTTTTTGTACAACATTGTAATATTGTTATTGTTTAAGAAAATTGCATCATTTTTGTTAGGGACATCATGATTCATATTTACAACCAATATGAGTCATAGTTGGAATAAAATTGTATGCTAATGGAAACTAAAAGGTAAACTTTTTTATTGTAGATAAATGATTCAGAAGGAAACTCCTCCAACATCTCCCTACATGGATCAACACGTGGAAGAGCTGGAAGATGATGACTTGGAGTTGATCGAAAATGGAGATGTTGAAGTATTAGACAGTTATGAAGTTGAAGAAATAGAAGAAATAGAGGATGATGAAGATCAAATGGGTGAACCCCATGAAAATTTTGAGCAAATGGAGAGAGAAGATGCTTCATGCATTTTTGATAGACACACTGGTGGGTCAATTTTGAAGTCGCTTTATTATCTTTTATGTAATTATATAATTATGTATGTGCTTATTTCTTTGTAGCTTCTGTATTTACTGGATCGCTGAGTAAAGATGGTAATTATGCAGTAACGGGTGGTGAAGATGATAAGGCTTACGTTTGGAATTCAAGAACTGGAGAAATTGTTGTTGAATGTTCAGAGCATAAAGACAGTGTTGTATTTGCTGATTTTAGTCATGATGATGTTTATCTGGCTACTGGTGACATGAATGGTATCATTAAAGTTAGAAAAACATCAGACAACCAAATTATTTGGGATTATGATATGGGTGATGCCCTTGTAAGTTATTTAGTTTTTAAAAGATTAATAACAAGGTTCATTCCTGTGACTCTTAAAAAAATTGCTTATTTTTAATTAATTTCAGTGGATGCAATGGCACCATCATGCACATGTTCTACTTGCTGGATCAGTAGCAGGTGAAGTTTATATGTGGAAGATTCCAAGTGGAGAGTGCAAGATTATTCAAGGATTTGGAAGAAAACCAGATGTTGCTTCCCTCATGCCAGATGGTATTTTTACATAATATCATTATTAGTGTATTTAAATTCATGATGATTTATGAAGATATTTCTTGCTTTAGGTAGAAAATTAGTGGTCGGGTATGAGGATGGAACTATAAGAGTTATTGATTTGAGATCAGCAACAGTTTTGCAAACAATTTCTGGTAATCTAGCTCATTCTGATGCAATTACATGTCTTGATTGTTATGTGGATAATAATATAATTTTATCGGGTGGAGTTGATGGAAAAGTCATTGTCAGTACAGCAAATACTGGAAGGGTAATTTATATTAGATATTTTCAGCTTTCCTTTGAAAAAAATGTTTTTTACTAAAATAAATGATGTTTATATGCTAGGTGCACGTTCTTCAAAATTTCAACCACAATGTTGATAGAGAAATGGCTGATGCAAACGAAGAATCTTCTGACATGGAAGCTTCTGGTTCTAGAAATTCTAGCAGTAATTGGGCAGAATCTGTTGCTTTCATGAAAGATTCTTCACAACAGATAGCAGCTGTCGGAACTTTAAAAGGACAAATATTCATATGGGATGTAGCAAGAGAGGTAATTTTTTATGCTATACATTAATAAAATTATTCAAAAATCAATATTATAATCAGTTAACAATAAATTCCTATTCTTTAGGTGTTAAGGCATTCAATTGACCAAGGGAGCGGAGTAGCCAAAATTATTTGGAAACTGAATTCACCTTTAATATACGCTGCTGGTTTGGATGGAATATTAAGGTGTTACGATGGTAGGACTGCAGAATGTGCAAAAACTTATTTAGGTCATGTTGATGACATTCTCGACTTGCATTTATCTACGTGAGTTATTTTAATATATTTATATCTATAAACATTTAAATTTTTACTAGGTAATATGAATCTTAATTTTTTTTCAGAGATGGAAAACGTGCTCTCACTACATCAGATGATAATACTGCACGAATTTTTGAAATTGAGTAAATATTAGTAATACAATAGACTTTTGGAAACACCTATGCAGGTGAATTGCATTTATCAGAAATTAGTTTATTGATAAATACTATCTGTTAGTCTTACTAGTTAGGACTTTTAATAGGCACATTTTTAATTCTTGTACAACTATCTATGTGTTAAATACTTTTAGTGAATATTTTACAGAGTTTACATTTAAAATTCGAGTATCAAAAGTATGTAGTGTTGATCACTCATTCTTTAACTTGTAACAGAGAAATTATGTTCCACAATAGAATCAATATTTTATCTAAAATTATGAATTATTGTAAATTTTCAATGTCAACCCAACACAGTTACAAATTTGTAAAATTTAATTTTTTTTTTTAAATTAATATGCATTCTGTTGAAATGCAACAGTGATAATTACAAGACTTATGTAATATATATTTATGTTAACAGTTTCAATTTTTATTTTGAAGGTTGATGTTGTATGAATGAAGTTAATAATTAAAAATTTGTAATGTACATTTGTAATTTTATAGCGTTGTTTAGTAGATACACTTTTGTACTTTAAAATAAAAATGTAACAAATGTAAAGAATAAAATTTTTTTATTTTAACAAAAGTTATAAAAATATCAATCTATTCAAGTTATTTACACATTTTATCTTTAAACCATTCTTGATCAAGTTTATATTCTTGACCCTCCCAATTAAAATATGTTGGAGGATTTTCTTCGCCATGTTCAAACTTGAACATAGTGCTGAATTCAATTGCTAAACTGGATTTAACTAATCCAACACCACCAATACTTTCTGGTGCTGGATGATATACTCTTCCTGAATGTACGCTCATGAATATTTTTTGTGGTTGAAATGGCATCTAGAAAAACGAATATTAAATTTATCTATGGCCCTCAGATACAAACTTTGTGTTAATGTCATTTAACATACACTTAATAGTTCTGCAGCATGATTGTAACAAAAAACATTTTCTAGTAATCCTGTGTCTGGATTTTGTTTTTTAATCAGATGAGTAAATACAATCGGCAAATCGTCGCATCTCACGAAATTACGCTCACGGCCGCAGAGCGACAAATATGGAAATTCCTTGTATCGCTCGGTATTATTATATTTCAGTCTTTTGAAAAAAAAGGCCAGGAACTTTTTATCTGGAAAAATACAACGCGTTAAAATTTACGTAAAATATTACAGTTTGAACTTTATTGTCAAATTATTCATCTTGCTTATTACCTTTAAAACAAGAGGTGAAATTTTTTATTTTGGTATCGTCCAAGAAGAGCTACAAAATTTCACAAAGGATGGCAATTTTTCAAGATTCGATCAAGATAAAATGATTTTATACCATTCCTTGATGATCGATGAAATAAAAGTATTCTCTGACTTTCGGCATCGGGCTCTGGCCTTGCACATAGCTGGAGCAGTTGCGTAGAATCGCTTGACAATTGAAGCTGGAGAGAGTTTTGAAGGCACTAGCCGTGATCCTGGTCATTGCAGCAAGTTGTTTCATACGACTCATGAGACTTTGGTAAATAATAATGCATCATGTCATCGATGTTGAACGTAGTCTGCTTGAAGATAACGTCTGCTCATCGCAAAGCTACGTTCATAATGAAACGTCATTAGCTCGTTTTGCGCCGCAGCCACGGATGCAAATAGTTCTTATCGGAAACACGACGAACATTCGTCACAGTAGTGAGAGCTGTGAATTACACCAAGTGCCGAGTAAGTAGCGAGTAATAACAAGGCAATGAGTGCAAAACTGGTTTTCCAAACCGGTAGATGCAATCGTGATCCGTACTTCACATGCTGCCTGCATCTTGGTTGAATTTTCGTTTTATGATAAACATTTTCGTTTTTGAGCTGGCTAAGTTACAAGAGATACGATAATTGTACCTATCTTGGTAATTGTCATTGTCAAAACGATCGACGAACGATCATGATTAGCGATTGCTCTTGAAGTTCGAACACAAACGATGGAATTGTGAATCAAACTTTTAAACGTTACTGCAGATCCCTACCGTGTCTCGTCGGCACTCCAAGTCCAACGTTTCCCCTTCCCTCGTTCTGATTCGCTCGCTCACGTTCAATGTATTATAGAAATAAAAACATGTATGGGTATACATATCTCTAATATACACATGCACGGCTGGAGCACGTTGACTGTTGACGAGACATTTACGAGCTGACTTAATAATAATAACGTCGGCCCACAATATACTAGAGGCGCTCGGAAAAGGTGGCAGATTGCGAGCCTAAGTCGGGCCTAACAGTGTGTGTATATGTGCGCGGCTGACGTTCGTGTGGTCGTGCTGTGTATACTTAGTTGTGTGTTGTGTGACTGTGTGTGTCTCTCTATACTCTATATAGGGTATCGCTCTTTCTCTCTCGCTCGCTGTTTCGCTTTGCGCTACGAACACACATTGATAGTATTCGCAGTCAGTCCTCCACGGGAAAGAAACTCAATCGCATCAGCGCGCGGACGGAGCTATGTTTCACGAGCTCTCGAGTGCAGTGTGATACATTACATATAAAAGCAAGTTTGGTGTGCGGATTATTTCCTCCGCGAGGCACGTCGTCTCGCGAGATTGATGCAGTGCGTCTGTCAATCGAGTGCGTACCTATGAGTGATAACAAATCGATGTGTGTTTTGACGGCAAGCCAATTATCATCGACCACAAGTGCGGCGGTCGCGAGGGCGGGAAGATGATCTCTGAGCCGAGAATCATAATCACAAGGACCAGGAGGAAAGGAGCAGCAGCAGCGGCAGCAGCAAACGCGACGACGAGGCTCGCTGTGCCTGCTACTGCTTCTACTACTGTACTTGCTACTGCCAAATAAGGCCCAACATCGGAGCACGGCCAGCGTTTCTCGTTCAACCTGTGTTGTATACTTTCGTCTCGCCGTCTCTCTCGCTCTCTGTCTCGTTTTTCGAGCTCGACTTACTTGGCCTGTCTGTGTATCTACGTATATCTATGTGTAGTGTGCAAGCCTTCGACAAATCCTTAATTTTATAACGGAGGATTTGCTCGAGTTTTTTTCTTCGTCCTCCGTTTCGGCACCAACGAAATAAAGGAGCCATGGCTTCCTCGACCAGAAGATCCTGGAAACTCCGTAAGTTTTTGATTAGATAAGTTTATCAATCTTTTATCTTTTAGATATACATGTTTTTAGTACATCTATAGATGTACACGTTATATACACAAATAGCATCGCGTGTTAATAACATTAACGATGTCTACTGTTCATCTCGTAAGATTAGGCTCGTTTAATTTTCGCGAAATCAAGACTTGGATAACAGTAGCCTGCCTACTGCTTGCTCTATACAAATTGGACAAAATTAGAGTGTAAGCGAGAATGGAAGAAAAGGAGTTCGTTGGCCCTGGCACATTATCAAGTTTTTTAGGGGTTATATAGAAGCAGAATGTTGTACAATCGATTTATCCTCTCTCTCTCTCTCTCTCTCTCTCTCTCTCTCTCTCTCTCTCTCTCTCTTTTTTTAAACGAGTGTACATCATCCGTAACGGATTTTGCTGTTGTGTTACTATGCACTGGCGGTGGTAGTCTTTATACGATGACTTGCGTGTATATTAGATGAAGGAGGAGGGACATCGCAGGGTCCCGTTTATCGCTTTTGACTCGCGGATAAATCTTCCTTAAACTCATTTTTAAAATTATGAATAGCTATTAGCTGCATATGATTGATCAATTTAATTATTTGGTTTCCGTTAAGCACGTTTTATTTGAACAATGCAAAAAATGAAAATATAAATTTGAATTTTATTCAATCCACAATTTTATCTAAAATATTTTTCTCTTTTAAGTTATAAATTAAATTTTAAATCAGCCAATTCAAATAGTTTAACTCCTATAGTTGTACTTGTGTAGTTGAATAAATTAACCCATCATAGATGTAATTTAACTTGTTTTAGTCTCATACAAATTCTAATGCTTACATTCAGCTACTACCTATTATTAGGTAGTTTTTGGAGCTTATACTTTGGCCCAGTATAGAACTTGAAATAGATACTCAGGGTAGACGCTGATACACAGAGATGCTAAAAATTTGAATCTATATAGGAGCTTTATTTATTTGTTTTATCTCATGACACCAAAAATATAATTTACAAAAACAATAGCACAAAGTAAAACAAACAAAATGTAACTTTTTTTCATGAATTTTTTTTATCTTTCCTGAAACTAATAAGTTACTTAATAGTTACTTATCATGGTAATGTTGAAATTTGACTATGAGGGTACTTGCTTCATTTGGGACATTTATGAAAGTTTTTACATAATCCTGATATATAAAATAAAGTGTCAATAATAAAAACAGTTTGCAGTTTCAGTTACACTTAATCTATGATAATATCACAATTACATAGATAATTAGTAGTCCTAATTATGATTCGCATAAATAATATCATAAGACAATCAAATGTTTGTTTACCGCTGGGTATAAATTTGCCATCAACTTTTTAAGATGCAAGGTAGTTTTGTATGATTTATTAGATGAAACACTTTTGCAATATGTGCTGAGATAGCATAAAAGAGCTCATATGTTTGCAAAGTCTCTCCTTAGTAACATTGCATCATAACAGGTTTTTTCAAGTTACCGCCTTGCTTGTAATGCTAATTTAAATAAGTTTTCAAGCTGCATAATTTATACTGCTCTATTCCAATTGCAGTTTTAAGCAAAAATTATTTTTTTTTATGCTACAGAGGATTTTGTTGCCCATTCTGCAAATATCAATTGTCTATCATTGGGTCACAAATCAGGAAGGGTTTTAGTCACTGGTGGTGATGATAAAAAAGTCAATTTATGGGCAGTTGGAAAACAAAATTGTATTATGGTCAGTTTTGAATAATTATTGTTAAATCTTAAACGTTACCTCGATACTCAATTGGCTCTATATTGTATTGCAGAGCCTTAGTGGCCATACAACTCCTATAGAATGTGTCAGATTTGGACAAACAGAGGATCTAGTCTGTGCTGGCTCACAGACTGGAGCTTTAAAAATTTGGGATCTGGAACATGCCAAATTAGCCCGTACTTTGACAGGTCACAAGCTAGGCATTCGCTGCATGGATTTTCATCCGTATGGTGAATTACTGGCCTCAGGCAGTTTAGACACAGCTATAAAACTTTGGGATATTAGAAGGAAAGGTTGTATATTCACATATAAAGGCCATGACAGGATGGTGAACAATCTCAAATTCAGCCCTGATGGGCAATGGATAGCTAGCGCAGGAGAAGAAGGCATGGTGAAAGTGAGTAAATTTGCTTGAAGCAAAGAAAGATTAAAAATAATAGATGTGTAAATATTGGTGTCATTATTTTTACAGTTGTGGGATTTACGAGCGGGCCGACAGCTGCGCGAATTCTCAAATCATACAGGTCCGGCCACGTGCGTAGAATTTCATCCCCACGAGTTCCTACTAGCCAGTGGTGGCGCCGATCGCGTGGTACATTTCTGGGATTTGGAATCGTTTCAGCTCGTTTCGTCGACCGACCAAGCGAACTCTGCTCCGATAAGGTAAGGATCTAATTGTTGGATTATTACACGCACCGGTGACAAGACTTGACTCGATAATGATATTTTTGTCCCGTCATCTCGCGTACAGGAGCATATTCTTTAGTCACGGTGGAGAATGTTTATTCGCTGGCTGCCAAGATGTGATGAAAGTTTACGGATGGGAGCCAGCACGCACCTTCGATACCATACCCGTAGGCTGGGGAAAGATACAAGACATAGCGATAGCTCAAAATCAACTCGTAAGTGCTTAATGTCATCGCATAACGTCCGTAATAGATGTGAAAACGTGTCCTGAATTATTCACGACTCTTTGCTCTTCGTAATTGCAGATCGGCGCAGGTTTTCACGCAGCCAGTGTCGTCCTTTACGTGTGCGATCTGAAGAAAATAGCACCTCTGGGCAGTAGCTCCGGAACAGGTGAAACGTCACCCTCTCCTTTTTCCTATGGAAATTCACTGAGAAAGAGCTTCTCCAAGGAACGGCCCGCTAGTCTGAAAAAACACACGTTAGTATATTATGTTAATGTTCACCAAAGTGCGCGGAGTAAAACTTTTGCTTGGCAAAAAAATACGCGTATCGTGTTTCATTGATGAAACCTCTGCGCCTGACCTCGAGAGCGAGAATAAATTTATACGCCGTACTACTATTTTTGGTGTTTTTTGTTTGCACGTCTCGATTTTTGCTGGCGCGTTATCTCTCTCGCGTGCGAGTCTAGGTCATTGACTTACAATGCGCGATTGATCAACCGGTCGATGTGTGTATACAAGCGCCTGAGCCTTGATCCTCGAGCGTAAAACGATCACAATAATGCGTTTGTTGCAGGATGGAGGTGAAAACGATCGAGGAGGACAAATCTGGCACGGATCCGGAGGAGGAAGAAGCGAATTTCGATATTCCCAACGTTTCCGAGTACAGAGACGTGTTTCAGCCCACGCGATCACGTAAGTTTATTCACGTAGTAATGCAAGACTTGTTATATCGCACTTGATTTACAGCACTTTTTTTTCATTGACATTACGGCACACGTGCTTATTTGTTGAATCGTCCTCAACATGCGTAATCCGTCGGCTTTGAAACGATATAATTACCGCATGTGTTGGGCGAAGCAAATCATTATTTTCTTTATGTCTATCTATACCTATCGATGTTTAGATGAAATGAGTGAGCATGCGTCTTGTGCACGGTATGTTTCAGTAACTCGCACTCCACCTCCAGAGCCCGAGGCTTTCCCAGAGCCTCCAGAGGAACCAGGTAATAATACCATTCTAAACGTTGCATTTCAATAAGTGCTCATTACTCTCGATTAGTTTCAACTTTTTCTACGTCTTATAATACACTTTACCCGCTTTTGTCATACGCTTGGGTGACCGATTTATGATGTCATTCTATGTTGTCATTGTATGTTCAAGAGTTGAATAAACTGATCGAAAAAATCATTTTTCAGACGTTTTCGTTTACTCGTACAGATAGAGCACAATTTTTTGATTCATTCCTTCTTTTTTTTGTTTCTGATTTCGTATGAAACTTTAAAATTTTGCACGCTTCTGTTCGGAAATTGAAACGCGTATTAGTAATACGCTGCCGTTGTTCTTATCGCGTTATGATAATTTTTACTAAATATGCTGACGCTCGAACTTCCGCTTTGGTAATTATAAGCACGCATTAATTTTTATTTTTTTATTTTTTACAAGAAATTCAACACCAGCAACCTTCACCGATGGTCCGTAGCTTATCCAATTCAATGTCGAGCTTGTTGAGCGCCGATGCCGAAGACAATGAAAACAATCTGTCGTCGACGTCTCCACCGACGTCGACGAATTCTGTTTCGATGCCAAAACCAACTTCCGTCAGGGTACAGCCGATCAAGCAGACGCCGCTCATACAGAGGAGTCCTATACCACCTATATCTTCAACGAGCCAAATCAGGTGCATATTGTCATTTTTCATCGTGCAAACGACCCATCCCATACTTTGAATTCAGGTCAATGTCTAACATTATGCATTTTGCGGTTGTTTTTTTCTCCTTTTTCTTGCCTGCGATTAATTGTGCAGAGCAACGTTACAAGCGAATAGTAAAAATTCGAAGAATCTAGCGCCAGTGCCACCGTTGAGGCATCAGGGACAAAATTCAAACCTAGTTAAACGAAGTTCTCCGATGCCACCGCCGAAGCCGTTGGGCCCTCAACGCTCCAATACCACGCTGACGCCGCGCAACGCGCCTATGGCTGCCGTCTCGCCTGTCATGGATGACGGGAAATTGAAGTCTCGAGCTAACAGTCCAGATTACCCAAAGCAGCTCATCAAAAGAGGCAAGGATAACGGAGAGAGTTACGACAGCGACTTTCCCGTCAAGTGAGTAGAGTCCAATGCAGGAGTTGCTGCGTATACATGATATGAATTACACGAGATGATTTAATTCATCAAGAGGAGGAACTATGTTTTTTGGTAGCTAAAATTTGCGCCGCGTGCGTGTGACATCAATGACGAGGCATTTCCGCTCGTTTATCCTTGAACAAATATTATCGTGATGTAAGCTTCGCGTACTTCATATGTATATACGCATACATGATCATGTGGGTCAGTGTTAAAGTGAAAGTGATGGTGAAATATGCACGCGGGCGTTCTGAGTATTGATCATTTACTAAGATACGAAATTGGTCGCTCATAACTCATCTTCACCGCAAAAATAGATATAGAACGACACTGAATGGGTGAAATGACAACTTTAAAATAATCCATGATTTTTTTTTCATATATATATATTTTTAAATGTTCGATGAAAGTTTTAATTTCCTTTGTATTGAAAAAAAAATCGATTTTGATAGATAAGCGAACAAGGCAGTATTAAAGTCAAAACAACCGTTATGAAATCGCTTGACTCACTATTGTAGATAAGAGTTTAACAATACCCGTTGTACGTAAAGTAATTTTCATGACTTTGATCCTTTCTTAGGAGAAATTCAATATAGTTTAAAATATTCCATTGATTTTTGTTTCTAAAAAAAGTTACTTGCTTCAATGTGCATGCACATTCAAATCATAGACATATTTACAGTCTCATATGAAATATAAATCTTGTATTTTTTGTAGAATTTCATCAAATTTGAAACACAGTCCTTCGGAGCCACAGCTAAATAGGCCAAATACGGCACGCTCTCAGTCCACCACGCGTAATCTCGGTTCATCGGGTCCTCTGTCGGCGCGTAATAACGGCACAGGACCAACGCAGCGCAGGCCACCACCTAACCGAGCTCAAATAGCGCCAAGCCCGAAGACTGAGATTCGAGTGGCTCAATTGAAGCCCAGTGTACAAAGCAAGCAACAGGACATGGAGGAATTCGTGTCGATGACGGCTGACAAACCTTATGGTCTCGATGTCGACTCTTTTTTACCGGTAAGTTCTATTTCCGACTTGACATCGTTTATTTTTTATTCAATGAACTCTCGGCTAGGCTAATAATGTTGCACAAGCGAAAGCAATATGCAGACGTAAACTAGTGAATAGAATTAATTTGCATCAAATGTTTTTTTTCTGTATAAAAGATGATAATAATAATAATGAAAAGTCTCATCGAGAGTAGATCGAGTAATTTTTTTCTCCCATTGCTGCTGTTCACAGAAAAACTATTCCGGACAGACGTCACTAGATTACGCGCAAATGGGTGTTTACAGTGAGATGTCAGAGGCTGAAGTATTCAATACGATGATGCGTGGCCACGAGTCTATGATGGCTGTGCTCACGAGTAGGCATCGTTCCTTACAAATTATCTATTCACTCTGGCATAACAAGGACATGAAGGTAAACTATTACGCGCGGCTTCATTTCTATTTTTGTATATTTTCAAAGCCGTATATGTGAGCCGTACGTGTGAGTGAACGCGTATGTGTACGTGTGGGTAAATAAATTTACGCTTAAGAAATCAGGAAAATTTTATACAAGGATTCGATGGACGACCCATACCGATCAAATAAAAAATTCTAACTAAACCGAGCCGCAATGTCCGAGTAGTTCTGGGTGCCAGACCGTAAAGCCATCAACTTTGAGTGGAAGTTCGCTGTACTGTCTTCAATGCTAGTAGAGTTAATATAAAAAAACAAATCGGCGTGAAACTAGCGTTAAAATAAAAGATAGATGTGCCAAGTCAATTTTTCATAAAATTAGATTATCTTAGCCCGCTTGCGCACATTATTTAATTATATTGTATTTTTTTATATAAAAAATTATACGTATTTACTTTCTCGCCGTTTATCCCAAGGAACAAGTTTCGCGCTTTTCTATCTTGAACCATAATGCGTTGGCAATCTACGGGCTTTTCCTCGTCTCTTGCATAAATATGATGATCAATCTAAACATAAATAAATCGGCTTTGTAGCTTTATTTAAGAAAGGAACTCCTTGAAATAATATTATGAAAACCAAGTGCTCAAGTGTGTTTACTCGCGCATATAATTATTGATATTTGTGATGAGTGCGTGTGAGCACGAGTGTGTAGATTAATTAATCCGATTAAATTATATCGTGGCGGAGCTACGAGAAAGAGAGAGAGAGAGAGGTCCGATAAGGATACGGCATGCTACTCTAGCGGTTTCGTGCCAATTTGCGCGTCAACACTGCAGCGCATTATCGATTTCTTAAAAAGTAAAGTTCAAAATGCTTATTTTATTAAAAAAATTTTTTCAGTCGGCTGTAGACTCGGCAGTTGCAATGAACGACTTGTCTGTGATTGTCGATCTTCTTGGTGTGCTCATTTTAAAGCCGTAAGTATCTGTGGATTCATTTATTCGTATAATCGAATTATTGAAACTAACTTTTTTGTGTGCACCTTTCCAGAGCCATTTGGAATCTCGACCTGTGCAATACACTAATCGCACCTATCGGCGACCTTCTTCAGAGCAAGTATGAAATGTAAGTAGACATCCAATTTTTTATTCACCGCGACGTAAAAAAAAACAAGAACTCTCCGATGTTTGCTGCGTGCGCTACACGCGAAATCTTTATATTGCCTTTTTCGGTATACAATAAGTGCCTAGCGCTCGATACACTTCTCTTCGTTAATGAATCTCAACAGCTTCTAGCACATGCGTATATTTGAAACCATGACCTACAATACTTATTTTATATTTTTTATATTATATTAAAGACATTTCAAAATAATTTCATCAGACGTATGTGCATGCGCTGTATTACTGCTTGTGAGCGTGCTCAGCGAATGAGCGATAGAAAGAGAGAGACTCTAAAACAATATTCCCACCCATATGAATCTTGACGAAAAAGGAAATGCATATCAAGCATAGAATTTTTCCTCCTCTCTCTCTCTCTCTCTCTCTCTCTCTCTCTTTTGCTCGTGACCTTGAGAACATAACTATTCTAAATCGATATATTACATATGAAAATATGTGCGAGAGAATAGGTGTGCATGTTACAGTCTACTAAAATTCGTTGTCTATCGTATCATAAAACTGCGTCGTAAAATTACGTGTATCGATTAAAATTCTATTAGAAAATTGAAGAAAAAAAAAAGAAGCCAATGCTAGCGAATTACTTATCCCGCAGACATTGGCGCGAGCGAGCGGCGAGCAGCACAAATGACATATACCGGTTTTAAATGCCCTCCTACGCTTAGCTAACCATATATAAAAGCGAGCGCGGCATCGATAATGAGAAATGCTCCGCTGCGTTCCCGATGCCCACGCGCGAGCGAGCGAGCAAGCGTACGAACGAACGAACGAAAGAACGCGTGTGTCTGTGTGCGTGCCGCGTGCGTTATTACGCGAAACGAAATCGTGATGCAAACTGCCGTCGCCGAGAAAGAGAGAGAGAGATACAAACACAGCAGGTATATCTCCCAGAGGCAGTTGGCTGCTTTTGCCGTGATTTCGGTTATGATTGCTACTCATTCGCGCGTAGATTCGATCGAATCTCGAGCTTGAATGGCGCTATTGCATATTTTCCTCGAAACATCTCTTCGAGCTCGACTCATTAGCACGCAAATAACGAAAAATTTACCTGGTGTCTTATTCTAATGCACCGAGTCATGCTTCTTTGCTCGTCATTACGTAAGATGTAGCGCAGGTTGATTTGAAATACATCACGTACTCTTATACCGAAGCATTGATAATTCACAATTTGTATTCAAAAAGTTAAAATCGCTCTCGGGACGTTTATGTTACTCGCGGGCACTAAGCAGAGAGTAGTCGGTCGCGGTTTTTTTTACGAGCTCCATAAATGGTTATAAAAATTTTCATCTATTCGCGCGACGATAATGATTCATTATTGTTATAACACGCTCGATTGCCTATGTTTATTCGTATCGAAATTTATAGTTTTTCTTAAGGAGCTATTAGTAAGTCTTGTTATTGTAACCGAGTCACAATATCTCACTTGTAAAAAACAGTGCGTAATTGTTCTCGTTATCTAAACGAAAAACAAAACAAAAAATTGTGTTTCGAATGGATGTTTCCCAGCGAGTGTGGCGGGCCTCGTGCAAAAACAGCACACGAGCGACGCGTCCGAGTCTGAGTGCGAAATTTCAATATCTCGCATATCAAATCGTAGACGTTCTCCTGACTCGGATCCGATTGCGTAAGCGTCTCTCCATTACAAAAGCCACCCGCGCAATTCACGCTCATCGGCGCAATGCGTGTGTGTGCGCGCGCGCCTTTATTATAATCATAATACAAATTGAAAGCAGGCAGCTGGTTGATCTCAAGTTCGTGTCCTTGATTCGGCACCGCTGGCCGATCGGCTTTAGCCGTTATAATCGCTCTTTAAAATTTACCTGCAAAGTACATAACATTAGAAGGAATTATTAATGTTAAAAGGAAAATCGCTTTATTGTCTCGCTGAGCATGGCCATTGTCTGTGTTTGTATACGAGATCTTAAATGGCGATCGAGGCTCACGGCGCTTTCTGATTCATTGTGGCTGGCATAAGCGACGCGGGCGGCGGCACGCACGAGAATGAAAAGCCAAGCCATTGAATTCGCTGATTCGCCATTGGGAACCTTCGAATCATCTTAATTCCGACCGCGCATGAAGAAATCGGAAATTCATTTCGATATACATCCGAAACGTGCAACATCAACGACATCGCAACCGATCCATTTACCGCGGATAAAGTTGATTTATGGTCGTCGGGCGAAGGAAACTTTGCGATATACAAATAACGTCATCGGCTATTTACTCTCGCGGCTCCCGCGGCATATAAAGACGTGTAATGAAGTATGGCCATGGTGAAAAATGACTCGGACAAATCGATTCGCCGCGAGCTTCGAAATCTGCGAGTACGATCAAATGCTCACGCTCGCGTACCGATTTTCTATCGATCTATTCGTCCTTAGAAAATAACATCTGCGACGCACGTAATTTCCTAGCCGAGTAGCTGCACTTCGTAAACGATTAACACCTCAACGTTGATTGGTTTCCTAATGCAGCAGTGCGGTATGAAAAAACGCCGCAGCGGCTCGGCATCGCGTTGCATCGCGATCCTCGAGTGTCGTGCGGCTACATACCATAATCGTTTTGTTACGCGCTCAATCAAAACAACGAATTCTGCTCGTAATTTGATTTCCTTCGCGTGCACAGCTTCGTATTCCATTGCTCGCGATCGGTTACGTAAAGAGCCGCGCGCAAACTTACGTGCAGACTCGTTTCTCTTTTGATGAGAAGCGAAGCAACGAAACACCCGTGTCGCCGTGCTCCTATCTTTCACGTATTGTACGTGACAAACTCAACTCTCGAAAAGCCTCACATAAGGGTATCTATTCAAATGTCGGTGTATTGATGAAACAACCCCCTTCGTCTTCTTTACGAGTTGTCATTTTCGACTACTATATGGCAAGGCGAAAATTAGCCAAGACAATTGAAAAAAGGGTGATAATCGTATGCACGGCAGAAATTTGACGATGAGATGACAACCAAGAGGTGACGTTCTTTGCTGCTGCTCTCGTATTATCTTTTTTGCTGCCGTTTCTTTTTAAAATTTGAAGGACGCTCTATGTCTCCTAACTTTGAATTCCTTTATTGGCGAGGTACGAATTGGAGAAAAAAACACGTTACAGCAAATCGATGCATCTGGTATGTCTCTCCTGTCTCGTCTGTGTCATTGTATTGCAACGTTTGTACAAAAGCATACGTGTCTGAATAGGCGCAGTCGTTTAGTTTCGCAAGCGTGTATTAATTGCCATTGGACAGATCGGTAAACGACTATATAATTAGGATTTGACGATGTAAAACGCGCATAAGTAAAAAAAGTTGGCTTTTTTATCAAGGTATATCGCTGGCGGATACGACGTCCCAAGGCTTTCTCGCCTCGAAAAAACAAACGATATTCGCACGCGTCGGCGAATCGCTATATAATACACGAATTATAGGTCGCCGCTGTGTGTATTACAGTCTCCCCAATTAGCCTCTCTCGGGATATGTAGGTATATACGCGCGAGCGCCACGGGAAAGAGAGAGAAAGATAAAGAAGAACAGCTTGGGCTCACAGAAACGAAACAATAATTGCGCGTTTCGAAACGTTTTCTCTCGGCTGCGCTACCACGAGAGCCGCGGAGGGCAAATATCCCAGCTCGACGTATGCACTTTCGACCTTTTGTCAGTGCGAGTAAACACGCAGCGCGTGCATAGGCCGTCGTCGGTCCTCCCGGAGCCGCCGAGCACCTTGAGAAAGTCTCGGTATTCTTTCGCGCCGAGATATTACGTTGATTTTCTTTCCAACGAAGAAACGAGTTTGCAACGATGGAAATCTGTTTAGCGCCTTTCTTGGTTGCATATCATATGTGCGCACGCGGCGGCGTAGGTGTACTTAACGCGCGCGGCCTATATGCACGCTTGGCATTTTCGTGTCAGTGCGAAACAATTAGCATCTCGCGCAGCAGCTCTCGCCCAACGTCTTTTCTCGCGTATGCATTTTTATCTTGACCGATGGCCTCTCGAGCACTCGTTCTATATGCATAATTGAATTGTGTCCATCGCTCTAACGAGCTCGCTCGTGATTTTTACGAAAGTTGCACATTTTCTATATTCTATCTTTCGATAATTATCAGGCTGATGGCTCATAAAATATATGACTGAAGTTATACGCTTCAAATCAAAAACTTTCACAACGGTCGTTTTTTCCCCCAAGCTATTTCTGAGATAAGCAACCAAAAAAAATTTCCCGTGCCATTGAAACGTACACACATACTTACTGTATAATCAACGTATACACTGTACACTGTAATCTGGCAAGGTGCGTAAATGAAACAATAGGGCTTAATTAAAAGTTTAGCGGTGGTCGTTAGGCGTGCGAAGCTCTCTGCATATCATAAACAAAACGGTGTATACATTTCACAGTTAAGTACGAGCTGCTATTAATTGTGCGAGTTCGGCGTAGCGATGAATGAATCTTTTTTCCACTTCAATATTAATAAACTTATTATATACGCACACAGCGATGCGCACGTTTTCCATCCGATGATTTTCGCGCTTGATTGAATTTTCATACGTTTTTTTTTCGACATTCCGACACCCGCATGTACATCTTTCTTTCTCTCTAATAAACTCGTCAAAAATTATACGTAATGCCATCCAATTCAATACCCATTTTCACGCTCTAATCCCTTATAATGTATACAGGCAAATTTGCATGAAGGAGAGAAAGAGAGGGGACATACGCGCGCAGCTCTCCATGCAGTTTGCATAACAACCGCATCGCTCTCATTTCATGAGAAAAAATAGCATATATATACACCGCTGCCTTTCTCTTCTAGAGTTAGATAGCTCATAGCTGCAACTCGATGTTGCTGTACCTTCCGTAGCAATCATTCGCCTCTTTTATTATTTAGATGGGAAATTCTTTTTCTTGCCTAGGCGAAATTTCATGAAAATAAAACAAAATCTACTCAATTCACGCGAGTTCTGCATCGGTCCCTCCGGCATTAGATCGAAAAAAAAATAAATACATCAATGAACATAGCGACGCTACATAAATAAAAATCTAAATTGCAACCGCAATGAGAAGGAAAATTAGCGAGTAGGGGCGCGAGGAGAATAAAACGAGTCAATTTATGACAGCGACTAGGACGATTCGTCGCGCCTAGGCTCGGCGAAAGGGGTAAAAATCGCGCGTGTGCTCCAATTTCATGCTCATGTATGGATAGCTTCATATTTATGGCTCAAAGTTTCGATCGAATGAGCCGTGACGCGATTCGTTGTTCGCTCAACATTACACATGTATCGTTTCGGTGGGAGTTTGGCAACTAATTTTTGATATCATTATTTTGATGATATAAATAATTTATAAACCCATTTCTTTTCTTTGCAGGTATGTGACAGTCGGCTGCTCAGCGCTCAGGATAATATTGCGAAACTTTGGCCCCGTTATCAAATCCAACGTCGATGCGCCTCTCCATACAATCGGCGTCGATGTATCTCGTGAAGAGCGGTAAGTCGATTCTTCATTCTGCAACATTAGATATAAAAGTATACAGCAAATAAAACTCATTGTCTATTTTTTTCTTGCATAGGTATCACAAATGTGTCACTTGCTATGACAAACTTCTACAGGTTCGAGACATTCTGCTGAAAAAGCAGAGCATGCCCGGCAAGTTGGGTGGAAGTTTTCGAGAACTGTGCACGCTCATAAGGACGCTCGAGTGATGATGTCGCAAATTGAGGCGTCGATCATCGTGCCTTAATCATCACCAAAAACAGCAACAGTCGAGTAGGCATAGGTCCTTCGTCGTCTTGCTACGCCATAATATGAAGGTGGAGGTCAAAAAATTGCCAGACTTACGTACGCTGACTTGCAGTGGCGTTGCCTGGTCAAAGTCAAAACGATAAAAGGTTATACAGCATATTCTATGTTAGAATTTATGCTACCGAATCGTAAGGGTGAATTTTTCAGCAATCGAGTTGAAACTTGTATATTTAGATTATGGGAGAATGCGGCCCAAGTATTTGTAAAAATGCCTTATAATCCTAATAGAGACCGTTAACAATCGTACCCTAAGGTCACTCATTGACTATTTTTTGATCGAATTCGCTCATGACAGTGATAATTCGGTGTCAATATAAGTGATCGTTGTATATTTTATGATTAAAAATGTATCTTTTGAAATGGTAGTGCTCGATGAGTTAGTAAAATGAGTATTTTGATTGAAAAGTGTGAAAATGAATACGTAAGTTGTACAATATATATGATAGGTCTCGTATACGATTCCCAGACACATTAGGAATAGAAGATTGATACTAATGAAAAATATGAAGGAGTTACTAAATTTTCGTCGAATCAATTATATCCCCTGTAAAATGAATTAGATTGATGATTTGTAAGCGATAAACATGAAGCATTCGCCTCGTTATCTTCCGAGATTTTGAGACTTACTGTTGACTGACTGAAGAATATTTGAGAGATGTTATATTTTGCAACGTTTCTCAATAGACATCGAGGGCGCACATATGTTTGCCATTTTTATTGTTAATATAATTCCTTTTAGTATTTTCTGCTTCATAATAAGGAAAAATATTTTGCTGAAATAATTAACCCTATGCTCTCTTGAGGTTTATTTCAATTTGTCAAGCAAGATTCCTTTTCACATTTTTTTCAAATAAATTTTTGATTATTCAGTTTTAATAATAGTTTTACTAAAAAATTACTTCGATTAATATGTGTTAATGAGTATTTAACTCATTTTTAAGCAAATCATGCTCTCAGGGGTTATTATACTAGAATGATTTTTCTTTTTAATGTCACCTCAAGTGAATTAAGATGTTCTGTTTTTTAGCAGGATATTTCAGGAAATGATGCATGTTTTAAAATTATGGTTATAATTTTTATAGCGTTTTAATTGATTTATATACTACGTGTTTGAACATTTCTTCATCAATCATTTTTCCACATTGTTTTTGGAAAAGCTGGTTTAAGTTTTATTGACATTTTATTGATAGCATAAAAATCAAAGTTTCATAACATTATCCTTAGAATTTTAAGTAGGTAGTTAATTAAAAATTAAAAAATTTCTTTTAATCAAAGAATCATAACAAGATCTAATTATGATTTTAATAATTGTCGACTGACTTCTCTTTTCTACGCTAAAGTTATTTTCTTAAGTTCATTTGTAAAGCGCTTATAAATTTCATGTCAACAAATTGATTGGCAAAATGAAGAATAATTATTGTAAAAAAGGCTTAAAGATAATCTCAGCAGCAGCGACTAAGTATGTTGAAATTTTCATTTTTGAGTCAATGTGTTTCAAATAATTTGTAATACAAAGTTATCAGTATTTATTATAATCAATGTTTATTATAATAATTGTTTAGACTCAACTCCGAATGAGCTTTAAAATATAGTTGAAATTAATTACAATTTCAACACAATAAGTGGTAATCGTGCCTTGATTTGTTTTTATCAATATAAAATATCTAATTGGGTCTCTCACGTTATTACAGTAGATTCATATCTTCATGCAAACAAACAAATACATGCTTTAAAATTGTAGGCTAAAAAAATTAAAAATTGGCGATCAAACATCACTTATTTAAAATGTACAGAATAATAGTGTGAAATTTAGAAAATCTCTGTTCCGTCCACTGTATTTTTGTAAAAAAAAGTAGTTGAGCAGACTAATGACCGTTTGAAATACATAATTTTTCGTGCGAACGTGTGAATCAAAACCGAAACACTAAAGAATGTTTCAAATGAAAAGCTATGGTTTTCATACAAATTATATGTATCTATGTAAAAGAAGCCAACCACGTTCCTGCTTTTGCTGATCTAACTACATAAAAACTAATTTATGAAATACACTGTTACCTACAATACCAGTTAATACTTTTAAATGTAAATATGCTAATGAAGATAAACGGTTGGCTTCAAAGTAACTTTGACTTGACTAAATGAGTAATGATTTTGAACATAAAAGTATGAATGTTAAACGCAAACTTCATAATAATAGAGGGAGATAATACTTATAAACCTTAGACTGAAGACACAAATGTAGTAGACGTTTTGGTTGTGATAGTAAGAAGAATATAAGAAAGCGTTTATTATATATCATACATTGTAGTTAATTTTCATAAAATTGTTTTTTCTGGGCGCATGTGGACTTTCCGAGACGTGTAATTGTGAGAATTTCAGTATATTATTATTGAAAATGTACATATCATTGCGTTTTACATGAAGCCTGCTTCAGTATGCGAGATTTAATAAATATCGAGTATGATTATCTCGATTATTCACTTGTACGTAATTACAATTTTTTGTTCTAATCATAAAAGTCAAATGCGTTTCTGAATGAAAATTCCAAATCAACTGTTTTCATCAACTAATGTGCTACATAAACTGGCACGCGAGTTAAGCAGAACTAAGGACTATACTTGCCAACTGTCGATTGTAAAATATTAGACATAATAAGTCATTACAAATTTAATAATGAATAATGATAATAAAAAATTATTTAATTACCGATGAAAACTTATATCCTGTGTATCACTTATTTTACACTTGCAGTGTCATATTATCCACACCTGATAAATACTTTTTAATGAAAAAAAAATTGTTTTAGTACACTCATAAGATTTGTTAAAATGTTTCGTTGAAAAAAATTACTCGAATTTGCTACGAACCGTAATATCAAATTAATAATGTCGATTTAATTTTACATGAAAAAAGGCCCATAAAATTAATTTAAAATAAATTTGTATTATTCACTTATATTAATTACACGAATGGGTTACATTTCTAGTCTATCTTGAAATTGTGTTATTTTATTATTTTTTTGATTTAAAGTAGAAATAAATTTGAAAGACGATAAAACATAATAAACAACTTATAATTGTTTCATTCTAATAAGATGGATTCAGATCACTATTGTTCAAATAGTATGAAAAAATTACTACACTTGACTGTACTCTGGTGCTACACCTTTCTACTGTATTCGTAAATACAAAAAACATTGAAAATCTCAGCAACAGCAATAAAAATTCTTACTTTCGAATTTCGTTATAATTTATCACTCTCTGAAATTTGCTTTTTATTAAAAATGTATATAGTAAATCAGTATTAGTTATAATACTCAATAATGATCAAATACAAGGAAGTAAAACTTAAATCCTCTCGAAAATCCGAAAAATAAAATATTTTTTAGTATTGACAACTTTTAAAATTATTTGAATAATATTGTATTTATTAAAATATTCATAAAAAATTTTTTTAAATCATGTTCAAACATGAAACGGCTTCAAAGAAGACAGTACGGGAGCATCAGCAGCAACAGAGAACGTCATCACGCAGCTGTCATCTCATCTTTAAATTTCTGCCGTGCATACGATTATCACCCTTTTTTCAATTGTCTTGGCTAATTTTCGCCTTCCCATATAGTAGTCGAAAGCGACAACTCGTAAGCAAAACTAAGGGGGTTGTTTCACCAATACACCGACATTTGAATAGGATACCCTTAGATGACAATTTTCGAGAGTTGAATTTCACTTCTGTCGCGCGTGCAATGCACCCTAAACTGCGTTTACATTGATACATACTCAATCAGCATTACAGAACTGTCTGTCAAAGTCTTAGATCATGATGTCGCAATTCAGCCTGATGTACAGAGTCTATTTCCAAATATTATGCAAAAAATTATTTATTATCTATGTCCATTATGAATATATACTTGCTTTTCATAAGCGTAGCTGAACACTGAAATAACGGTAACATTACAATTTTTCAGTTAATTTTTGACGCAGGAAAATATTAAAAAAATTTTTGAAACAGATAACAAAATTATATTGAAAGATCACGAAAAAGGAAAATTTTATTGTAAAACTCAATCATTTATCGAATTTATGAAATTAAACGAACACCGAATCCTCAACAACGTTTGTCATTCTATACTACATATTCTTCCTTGAGTACTATTTTGTACCAAAGTAAATTAATGAAATATTCTAATAAAAATAAACTGAGTATGATTAAATAATGAAACGTTCCGTGAAATAAGATGTAGAGTTATGCTATGTCACAATTTCTGAGAACACCATTGCATCTAAATATTTTTCATTCTTTTATGTTCGATATTTATACTCTAAGCATTATAATTAAAAATAATAATAACTTCATTATAAATTGAAAATAAATGTTGATATTAATGTTTTGCAAAAAACATCAATATAATCAGTTAACAATTTATTTTTTCGATTATAGTAACTTGTAGTCCACAATTTTTATGAATATTACTTTTAAATATTTTAAATTCGAATAGCTCTGACAGAAACTGAATTTCAATACATATAGTCAAGTAAACTAATAAAGGAAAACATCAACTGGAGAAACATTTATTTTGTCGATTTGAATAGCACTAGAAAAAAATTCCAAATAATTCAGATACAATTAGTGAATATTAAAGAATTATTCAAAGCATTAATAATATAAGTTGAGTTTATTACTCTATTAAAATTGCAATTATTTTAAAGATGATATAAAAATGTGCGTCTACATGAGTAACACAGTATGTCATAGTCAGTTTGTAAAATAAATTAGTGTGTAAATAAAAAATTAGGAATGATAGTTTAGTTACAAAAAAATCAACAGTGAATCTAATCTTCGTGAAGAGTTGAAGGTATGAAAAACAACTGCATAAAAGTAAAAGTAAAATAAAATGAATATACAAACAAATTTTTAAATTTGAACAAATCAATTTCAATTATCTATAAATGTATTCATTTGATTACATGCAAAATTTGCAACATTAAATGACGAACGCGAAAAACATATCGTAAAAATTATAATCGACATCATGAATTTTGGCGCGTAGCCGCCAAGTAAACATGCCACAAATCTCTGTTAATTAGCTGCTTGGCGATCGTTTCGCAGCAGATCACCGGTAGCTTGAATCGGCTCTTCAGCTCCAGAAGATATTCCAGCGTCCAGCGCCGGAAAAACCCTCTGGATATTTTCTCTCTGATATGCATTGAATACGCCTCTTTGCGATATTTGGGAATGTACTTAAAATCGTCTTGGATCGCGAACCTGTATAGTAGTCCGAGTACGCGAGTCGTTTCGATGCCTCTTCGGGTTGCATCATCATCAAGTCGTAGATGGACAGGTTCGGCTGTATCATCAACTTCTTTGCTTCGTACGTAAACTTATCTATTATATATCCGTACCAATCTTTTCGAAGATCTGAGTACTTGATGAATCCGTGCTCGGCGAAGAATTTCATGATCATCAAGGCGTCGCTCCGATCCAATTCGTAGCCTCTTTTCTCCAAATTCTGGGTGACGGCAAGGAAGCCAATTGCTATTCTCAATTTGTAATTTTTTATATCGTGAGATGTCATAAACATTTCGGCGAAGAGACTCGCAGTAGGAAAAACAAAACTTGACAGATCAGCGCTAAGAGCCGTTCTCGATTAGTGAGTTTGCCAAGGAGCCATCCAAATTCGTACCAAGAAGATAATCGATTGCTGCGGTCTGAAAAATTTCCCGGAGATCTGGAAGTTGGCTCAATCTGTAAATATTAATTACCGAAGAAACGTCATCAAAGAGCTCTTGACTCTTTTTTGAGAGCTTCCATAGGCCGCCTTTGAACTGTTTTGGTTGTTTTGTGCCATTTTTCGTTTATAATCGTATGTGATCGTTTATAATTTGAAATATTTGTTCTTTTTCACGAGAATCACTTGCGACTGACGAAGCGATCTTGTCCAAGCGACTTTGTAATGTGTACTGACCTATATACAGTATGATTTATAAAGTGTAAACATTGGTATAAACATACAGATCGAGCGAGGCAGCTAGTTGAATCTGGATGTACGTTAAGATAGGTAATTAAATAAGATATCATTCTTTTTTTTTAAATTTATTATGTAAGATGAATAAGGATTCGATTCAAACTTAAAAACTAGCTGAAAAGTCATTGCAGTATTACAATCCTTGAAACCTTTCGGATATAGCTGGCGATAGCAAAAAAATTGTAGAAAATTATTCCACATTTAATGGAATTCTGTCAGTTTTCTGTAGTGGCGCAAACTGTAACTTAACATTTTTTTGCAGATTATTTATTTCTCGACCTATGTAAGATCCACATCGGTTCTTTCGACTGCAGTTTGGAAAGAAAAATACATCAATGAACATAGTGACGCTTCATAAATAAAAATCTAAGTTGCAACCGCAATGAGAAGGAAAATTAGCGAGTAGGGGCGCGAGGAGAATAAAACGAGTCAATTTATGACAGCGACTAGGACGATTCG